TAATCTTTATTATTAATAATCTCTTTTTGTATCAAATTTCAATTCTTAATTTGAAAATACTGAAAATAGTTTTACATCTCTAAAATTTTTCAGTGCCACATAATAATAGTTGAAGTTAATTTGATCTCTATTAAAAATGACTGATTAATATAGAATAATAGCTAAATTAATAAAATTTCAAACGATTTCCAATTTATTTTTCACTTATATAAAGTAATTTTAATCATTTATATCATATTCTCCTTACTAAGCTTGTTTAAATTAATGCATCAATTATTTTTTACATTTTAATTAAAAAAAAATTTTTTAAAGTTAAATGTTATTCTAGAAAAAAGTGATCTATAAATCATTTTAAAGCATCATTAACAGCTTTAGTCAAGCACACATGGGGTTCAACGTCCGAAATTGAATCATTCAACCCTTGAGGTCATTTAAGATTATTTTACGACATACTGACCATTCAAATTATTAAATTATCAAGTCATTTACACACCAATTACGCGAATCATTAAAAAGTCATTAAAATTTTTAACCAAATAAGAATAAATTATTATCGAATCATTGATTAAAACAGTGATAAAACTGAGCAGTTAAAGCAGACAATGATTTTGGAGCGTCTGTACAAGAGCTTGCATTTGGAGTTTCAGAATGCATGGAGATCGTTGATGATGACTGTACCCTCATACACATAGCAACCACGACGTAGTAGAGACCACAGCCTTGTCCAGCGTCCAAAGCACCACACACAAGCCACGAAATTTCGCGCGTACGTGTTCACCAGGGGGTAGAAATCATTAAAGGGGCGTGGCGTGCCCGTGGTTACCCGGATGACGGTCACGTGAACCAAGATGGCCGAAAAGCACTACATATATTCCCCTCTTTGCAACAGTCATTTGTTATCAGCCATTTTATTTTAATGATTTCCATGCATGCGTGAAACACTTTGCCGCATCGTTCTTCTAAAACGAGTGAGAAAGACTCGATAAATTCAAGAATGCATGAGCGAGATGGTAAATTTAATGTGTTACTACTATACATATATTTCAACATTCATGCTCTATTCCATATACATATATACTAGCTTATCCTTTGCTATTTTCCAAAAGCCCCTGCGAATATTTTATTATCCATAAATTATTTCCAACAATGCCAAAGCTGAATGGTAATTTTCAAATTCGATGATCTAGTCTTAATCAAGTGATGGCTAATTAATAAGCTTATCTTCTTTAAACTATACGTTATACGTAATGAATTATTGATAAACTATATCACTGATTATTATTGCTGTTATGACAAAATAACTTACTTTAAATATTTTTATTATTAAATTTGATATTTTTAACTTATATCAAATTTTAAACTGATTCTTGATTTATTTCAAACAGTTCAATGAACTTTTTCTATTTTCATCAGTTTATAATGATATTATTTCTTCACGAGAAATTAGTTTCCTATTTTCATTTGACAGTTTATCTTTCAATATCAGTATATTCAAAGTATTCTTTTTTTTTATTTTAATTCATCAATAATTAAATATAAATATATTCCAAAATTTAATATACATTTTTGTGTATATTTTTTTTTTTATTAATTTTACTGTGTTAAAACAATTTTCGTTATTTTAGTTTGGCGTTAAATGGAGATAGTGTTTTTGGGTAAAACATAATGCATATTGATATTTTTAAGTGCGTAACTGATGAAGCTTTTCGCTCACAAAAATTCGATTATTTCAACTCTGTTACTCTTCTGATTTTTCAACCCTACAGCCTCTATTGTATAACTCGTTTGAATGCAACTTCAAAACTGGTTTACATGAAGTTTAAACTCGTTGCACAACCCCTTTACTTTATTCAAGCCACTAGAAAAGCAGGTTATATGTTTTTCAATCTCTAGTAAAAAAAAAAGTCTTATTTTTTGTTTATTTTAATCCAAAAAAAAAATTTAATAATGATAATAATTTTAAAAATAATAGAATGGTGAAACAATAACTGTAGACAGTTTGAATAAACAAGAGGGATTATTTGTAATAATTGTAAAGAAACAATTTTTAACGAGACTTTGTCAACCAGAAATAATTGATAAAGTTGAACTGTATGAATACATGCAGTTTGCAACATTTAAAAAACAGGAGAAATTCCAGAAATCACAGGGTTGTTTCTAGTACATAAATATAGGAATGCATATATACTGCATGAGAGTTCGGAAAGGGGTTGGAGAAATGGTGATAGTGCATTCGGAGGCGACGTAAAAGAGGGTAAAGTGTTGGAAGTGTAGATTCGGATGACTGTGTTGTATATGTGAGTGCGTGCAATTTAATGATTTTCGGCCGGAATTTCGATGACGATGGGGTCATGTGCACCAGCGGAGGTGGAGCAGGGAGAGAGACGGAGACGTAAATTTTCTAGTGCGTTCATTTGTTCGTACGAACGAAACGCGAATGCTTTATACATGGATTGCAGGGGACATTAATTTTCTGGCGCGGACGTATAGTGGGAAGCGTTGGACTCTATGGGGTAGTGGCAATAGAGGGTTGAACCTCTAAAGTGAGACAGAATTATAACGTAGGGGTGGCAAACTATGTACAGAGGTGAAAGGTAGACCAGTGTCCCGTGCGCAGGAGTACTTGCAACCACCCTCCACCAACCTCTACACTCTTTCTCTATTTTCATACCGTCATCTCCCTTCTTCCCTCGACCTCCCTATTTCCTACTCTCGAATATGCAACGGCCATCCACGTGCGTTTTTTCCTCTATCCCCAATTTCACAACTTTTTTCTGGAGATTTTGATGACCGGATCGGCAATAATGTTATTTTTTATTATTTTTACTGTTCAACATTAAAATTTTTTAGCAACACAAATTTTTGCCCATCATTTTCAAATTATCACTTTAACTTTATGATTATTTTGCACCATAAACAATACATTTTACGCTTGATAAAATTATTTTGATAATAATCCCATACAATAAAATGAAATGAAGATAATTCTTGTGCATCAACAAAATATTTCCTCTAAACATTCTCTCCATGTATGTTGCTGCATCAGTTGAAACATCCAACATGGAATATAATTCAACATTTTTTTCTTTTGTATACAGGAAACTCATAGAGTATACTTACTTTTTATAAAGTTCTATAATTGTTTCTTAATTCTTCATAAAATACTTGTAGAATATGATATTCTATTTGTTTCATTCTTTACCCAGATGACTGTTGATGAACTTCCGTCTCGTTTATTCTTATATTCCAATAAACCGTATGTTTTCCTTTCTAGCAGCAATTATAAATGAATTTAAGAAACATATATACACACATCGATTAACAAGTAAAACGTTTTACTATATATGTTTTTATATACGCAGTAACATGGTAGTTTTATTTCAAATATCGTAGACTTGATGCGTAACGCTTATTCTTATTGTAAGATACACTTTAATTGCAACCTCTAAAACATTTACTGCGACGAAGGTACTTTACATCATGAGAATAATTATCAAGTGCTTTCTTACTCCTACTTGCACATCTGTTTTTCTTAGTATACCCTTTACTACCTCTTTATTTCAATTCATCATTAATTCTTTTCCTTATTCTAAAGCGAATATCAATATGTTACAAAAAATTTATTTAATTCATTCAATTATTTCCTGTTCGGAATGATGATTCATCAAGAAAGAGAAAAAAGGATGAGTACAAGCTTTCTAGTCTCTAGAAATATAAAAATATGAGCTTAAATTCATGGAATTATTAATACATAGAAATTTTTAAACATTCAGAAGGTACTGGATGACTCTAGTTATTGCTAGATAATTCTTTTGATATTTAAGACCAATGGCAAAGGTGTAGGCAGATGAATCTGAAGGTTTCTTTCAAGCTGAAGAAGGGGAACAGTTAGAGATATCAATATCTGTTAGAATTTAGGCATTATTGGAAAGTGTTGGGTCAACTTGATAGTGTAATAACATTTCCAAGTTGGGTGGAAATAATTGAAGAGGTTTTAAGTATTGTAAGGAAAATGCTCAAGTTGATCAAAGTTTATGAAAATGAACTGCTCTATTTATCTATTGAAATTATTTTGAATATTAATTAATTGCCTTCAGAGAATAAATTTATTAATGAACTACTTATATACCTATTGTTGTTATGCACCAGATTCTGAAAATATTGAAATATTCGGATACGTAGAAGAACTCTATTAAAAAATCATTTCAAAATGATTGTTTTAAATTAAACTTTTATGATCTGCAGAACATTAAAAAAATATTTGTTACTTGCAGCGATTTAATGCTTACTACTTCATTTGATTGTATAATGATTAAATTTGTTATTCACACTCTAAAAAATTTATAGTTGGATTTACAATCCTGTGGTAATTTATCATTTGACAGAAAATATTTGAGTTTTTTTCGAACTATTAATAATAAAAGCAACTATTTATTTCTCTTACTGTACAAATATTTCTATGATAAGAAAAATGGTGTTGAATTAGTATAAAAAAATGATGAAAGTTTGCTCTGAATCAAATCTTCATGCCAGTCGATATCTAATAACAGACTTTAAAAACAACCCTCATCCCTCTATACTTTTGCCCTCATCCTTCTAAAATTTTTCTTGTGTAATAAAAGTGAATATACAAACGAGAAGGAAGGAAGGAATGGGAAAGAAAAAGATCAGGATATCCGATATCCCTCCGGTCAATCTTACGGATTTTTTTTTCATTTTATTTTTATTTATGTTCTTGCCTTCCTACTACGACTTTTATTGCATTCGAGGGCGCTGAGATTGTTCGATTAATCGGCGATTGAATAAAAGATGAAGCCAGTGATGTATTTTATAGTAAAAAGTGACTTTGTGGAATTTTTTAATTATTTATTTATAAAATTCTTGAAATATTATTGTTCTAATTATTTTAATAGCAAGTGAATATTATTTTGGAGTTATTGTTATTTGCTATCTTTTTTCTGACAAACTTAAAAAATCGGCAAATTAAATTTTAAAAAAAGTTAAAATAGCCTTTTGGCTTTTTGCAGGTGAAAGACCATATAAATGTCATCTACCAGATTGTGGACGAGCATTTATTCAATTATCGAATCTTCAACAACATTTGAGGAATCATGATGCTCAAGTGGAACGAGCGAAAAACCGTCCATTTCATTGTAATATTTGTGGAAAAGGATTTGCGACTGAATCCAGCCTCAGAACCCATACGTCGAAGGTCAGTCATGTATGTACCAAAAAAAAATCCGACGTCCGTACTTTCATACAAAAATTCTTTATAAATACGCGAACACCGGGCCAAAGAAATGACTTACCAAATTAAAAAAAAAAATTTATATATCACAAAATTTTTTATCATTTGTAAATTTAAGTTTTTATATTATTGTCAATTAATTATTGGTTCATTTAATTTAATAAATTTTTTTAATTAATTGGCTTTAAACGAGCTCGAGATTGTTTCCATGCATCTTCGGTATACGTTACTAATTTATTTCTTTGCTAAAAAAAATTACATTTACATTTAGTTTGAGGTGGTTGGGTCACGCTTTGCAATTTCTTTCTTTATTTGTTCATAATATTATCATACGTCTATTTCTTTTTTGCTAAAATATATTATTTAGGCTATTTGTGTTTTTCTTTTTCATAATACTCAATGTACAAAACACACTTTCTACATTTTCGTGTAAAGATAGACATTTTTATGTATTCAATCAAAACGCGAAATCTTTCATTTCGGGGTAGAGAAAAGGCTTAGGGAACAGAATCGTCCCGACAATCGAAAATAATCCTCATCCCCCACGATAGATATAATCGTAATAACTACCCTCGAACATTCCAAGAAAATCAATTTGTAAAATTATTACACTCACCCACATTTTTTTTTTGTTGAACATCCTGCCACTTATTTCCAAACTGCAGACAAATAATTTTCACACGAAACTTCTTCTTAAACCACCCCTAAAAAGAGACAAGATGATAATTTAAAATGACCAAAAAATTGATTAAGAATAACAGACATTAACTTTTGACGTAATATCAAAAGTCATAAAATTAATAAAAAATATTTATTAAGGCTGCTGACCGTGGGATAATCTGTGACGAATAAAACAAGCTCGTTAGGTCTCGCGCATTGTCATTAGATGCCACGTGGGGTGAGAAACATAAAGGGTTTTAAGTCTGATGCTAGAAGGGGATGTTTCAAGCCGAAGGAGACGTACAAGGAATCTATATATAAAACAAAAAAAAATAAATAAGAGAAAAGAAAGATTTAAGAAAGATGCCTTCGGGGTCTTTAATCGAATTCACCCTCCTTTCGTCCTTATGGGGTATTTTTTTGCTCTAAATTCAGTTGGTAACTGAATTTTCTTCTTCTCACACTCATTCATAAGGTTGTGGCACTGAGACTCTATCATTCCTCAACCCTTTAACACGCTTGGCACATGTCCAGATAAAAAAACGTGGGAAGGCATCTGCCAAGCATCTCTACAGTCTTTCTCATTTATCTTACTCTCGATAAGATTTTACGCCAATTTCCAATAAGTGTCTTTCAAGTGAAGGATTCGAAAAAAAAGTGTCCTATTTCAATTCTTCGAATGATAATTGCTTCGCTTAGTGAGGTTTTTCAGTTGAAGGCGTGAGAATGAAATAAAATGTCGTGTAAACGAGTTAATTTTTTTCTGTAAATATTTTCGTAACAACCCTCAAGCGGAAGGGTAGAAAAATAAATCTGTCCGTTAGCATAGCCAGGGGAATAAAGTATTGCGCCACTCACGAGCTGGTAACTGGTCCGTCCGGAGCTGTAGGTGTAATTAAAACGCTTGGTGCAAGCAGAAAAAGACGGAGAAAAAGCTGGAAAGATCAAGAGAAAAAAAAAGTCGTCTCTCTTAAGGGAGTAATAAGAAATAAAACAAAACTAGTGGATACAGTAAAGCCATCTTGCTCGTGGCTAATCGAATTTTCGCTCGGCAGATTTCTTGAAATTGTTTTTCTTATATATTTTCAACAAGATCCAACCCTTGACTTGAGGAAAAAAAATTACTTCTGTGACAGAAAAAATCATTTCTTTTATGATGAAAAATATGTAAGATGATTTGAATATTGTGTTGCTTTAAAATAATTAAAATTGTAATTAAGGAAGATCATTTTTAAATGGAGAATTATAATAAATTGGATGAATTAAGTAAATATTAAAACGAAATCGTAATAGATAGTGGCTCGAAATGATATTTTCAGAGTGTAAGGCCATGTATAAGTAGGAAAGACAAGTCTTAGGGGATGAATTAGATCCCAAACGGTTATATTTATCGTTACTTGCAGGTCTAGCGAAAAGTATAGAGGCTTAAATGCCGTGCAACACGATACAAGTAACCCTTTCCGTTGCTTTCCGGCTTTCTTTCCACGTCCACGACATCCTCTTCTCCCTTTCTCTTTCACCTTTTCTCTATATCTTACAACCCTCTAGCTGTCTTGTTCTACTTAGAAAACCCCCTCTTATTGTTAATTGCCCCACCGAGAACGCTTGGTAAAAACTCGTTAGACACCGGATTTATTTCTATCCTCTTCTTCGTCTTCCTCAACTCATCCTTCATCCTCAGGATATTTTTGCACTTGATTCCAATTTTTTATCGACAAAATAATTCACTGAATAACTATTACTTATATTTACTTGGACATTTTTTTCCCATTGAGTGGTATTAGAGCTTTGAAAAATTCTTAGGCTTAAATTCATGGGTAAAAACATCGACATTTGGCAAATATCCAAAAGTAGGGCCACTCTTTGTCTCTTTTGCAGCGTTAAAATAGAAAAGTGGGACGACCCTTTCGTGGCAGAGTCGCAGTGGAACGTATATACCTTCTGAGATACGAATCTTGGAGAAACGAGCAAGAGCTCTATTCTCAATCTCACTCATCACTTTAAAACCACATTTAATGGAACTTCATTCCTCTACAAAAGTATGTCCACAATTTCCCCAAGGTAAAAAAAAAATCATCCCTCAGCAATAAAACCGAAAAAAGCAACCATTTTGGTTAGTTTTTTTCTTAGCTCCACCTTCTCATACTTTTTCCAATGATATTTTTTCCAAACCACCCCTATGATCTGACAGAGTAATAATGAAATCATTCACGCGTCAATTCATGAGGGGTGGGATTTTTCTATTCAAAACTACCCTCAATAGTTTACCCCCACGTTTTTTATAGACCAACTAAAGGGAGTTTTTCATTTCGGTTCTCTTCTATTGGTACAAGTTGACAGAGGGGAGAATTTGCTTACTATATTCTTATTCCTGATCACCCATTCATCCCTACAGGATACACACGTTTCTTTATTACACGTCTTTTTTATTCATCTTGCTTGAACGATTATCCAACACGTTCTTCTTTACAATATAGATTAATAGGCGTAGTATTTAGGATTAAAGTCTATTAAAAGTATGGCAAAAAATTGTGACGTGACAAATTAAAGTGATGAGTAATTTAAAAATGAAATAAAAAAAAAGTAACGATGACAAAAAATTTTACTATACAATTTAAATATAACACTCCATCGAGCAAAATAAAATGTCAAAAAATGTATCGTAATAATTAGTTTATTATTACGAAGAAATACCATGGGATTTCTTGATGAAAAAAAGAAGTTTTGAACAAAGATCTTAGTATATGTTAAAAAAATAAACATGACATGATTGCAAGGTAACTGCAAGTAGAGAGAGAAAATATAAAGAGAAATATCTTTACGAAGGTTGTCTGACTCTTTGTGGCCTCGTGTATGGGCCTGAGGAAAGAAAAGAGATGACAGTAAAGAAAAAGTACGATAGAGAGAAAAAAAAAGTAACTACACTGTGTACAGAGAAAGATAAAATGGTGAAAAAATAAAATGAATAAAGTAAAAAATAAATTCAGTTGTGGCCTTGAATTGAATGAATACATGGCACTTTAGTATGAACAGAGAGCGAGAGTGTATGCTTTGGGCTTTGGGTCTTTGGTTGACCTTAATTTCCGGCGGATTGGAACGAGGGCGTGACGAAGACTCGTTGTCCCTCGGAAGAGTTCTCCAGAGAACCAATCGAGAGTGGTTTACCTTCAAAAATCACGGGTGACTTTCCCTTTCAACAGATTGACTTCTGGAATCGAAAATTTGGAAAAAAAATAATAAAGAGGAAAAAGAAATTTACTTCATTTAAAAAAAAAACATATAACTGATAAGGTGAAAATATATGTAAAGAGCCAGAGCGTCACGCATCGTAACGCATTTCGATCACACCCACTTCCTTTTTACGCCACACCCTGGGGTCCGGACTTTGAAGAGTTGTGAACAGCATATAGTAAAACTGTAGAAGTAAAACTAAAGCGATCACATGAGCATATAAAAGGAAGGAAAACTAGTGAAGAAGTTGGGTGGAATACAAAGAGGGGTTTAGATGAAGTTAACACGCACACTCAACGTACCAAGGGAAACAATTAACCGTTCGTTGATGCTCGTTAGTTGAGTATTGATCGTAGTGTTAATGACGACTTGGTAGCCCTCGACATGTCATCAAACAGTACAATGAAAAAAAAAAGGAAATAAATGAAAAGCTTTATAGAGAAATTTCATAGATTATTTACAGGTAAAACATCTTAACAACGTTTACAGTGATGAATCCGGTCACGGATAATCATAAAGTTCCCCAGGAATCACACCCACGCAGTCCCACATGCTGGGAGATGGTTTCTAGCGAGAAAAGCAAGCATGGCATAGCAAAGAAAGAGGATAGGCTTGGTATAAGAGCTCAATGTTCAGCACAAAAAGCGTGGATGCAGTAAAAAAAGGAAAAGCACAAGAAGAAACCGGTTTTTTCCAGTTGTGCCAGGTCGGGGCGTCGAACCTTCGGACCGCAGCCTCCCTCCGAGAATAACTTGCATGCGGCAAGTCTCTTTCTTCCGTCTCACTTGTACTCCTCCGCCGCTTCTTCTTCTACTTCTTCAGAGTGAAGTCATGTATACACGTTGAAACATCTCTCAACCAAGTCTTAGGTGAGCTAGGTCCGGGATTGGAGTGAGAAAAAAAGAAACATCCCAAAAGGAGTTCTGGTATGCGAAAAAAGACGTGTTGAAGTTTAAAGGAGATGTGGGGATTGGCAAGAAAAGAAACGGTAACATCGAGACCCTCAAAAGTTGGGGGTCATTGCCATCAAGTCTGGTTTTAGCTGTTTCTCCACACCCGACTCTCATTATCTCCCTTTTTCTTTTTGACTCATCAAACATCATCCTTTAAGTTACGAGATATTTTAACTTTAGGCTCCCGTTTTTATTTTTCATTCCACGATTCAACTCTTTGATAATTCTCTCACGGTAGCCTCTAAAGCGTGCGTCAATAATCGCGAGAGAGAGGTTGATGATTGATGATGATAATGACAATAAGGACGTCTGATTTGATTGTTGGTTTTATAAGTAATGGTTATAATTATATAGTTGGTTAATAACCACTTTTGCAGCCGATCATTGGATCTATGCATTGCATTAACTATCATCTTTCTATCTCTCATAAAGAATCCACTCTATTATAGACTGACAAAAACCCTTTACCAATCTCAAATAGTATAACAAGAACCAGAACAAGACAGATCAGTATATTTAGACCTTGAAAGTTCAATGTAGGCTTGGATATGCAGTAATTTAAATACATCAAATGACATTTTAAAAAATTCAACTCACAAAAAATTAATCGTTAAAAAACTGATCAATGATAGTATTCAGCTGTTTAGCTACTCGATGGATTTTATCTGCTCATCTGAATGTTGTTTCTTTGATAAGACCTCGAGACCGTAGATATCTGGCAACGCTGTGATGTCCAAGCTTCAGACCACCCACTCACAAGACTTACACAGGTCCTAAAGGTTCATTACCGATCTTTTTGCTCTGGTCTTGCTATTTACACTGGCTTCGCTTAATCCATTTTCCATTCCGAATTAGCTCCCGCGGATTCCCATCAATACCTCATTACCCTTCAAAATAAAATTCATCAATAGCAGTCCCTAAACAATAACGACATCAAGAGAAAAAATTTAGCTATCTTTTCTCTCGGTGAATAACACTATCCTTAATCCCATGCAAAGCGTAGTGAACTGGTGGCGGCAAAAACAGGAAAAGAAATGGGTAAAATGCCTTATCTTTCACACTTTGGTATCGTTCTGTTCTGTGCGCGCCTGTCCTGCTGCTTCTGGTACCAAAACACACACTCCTGGGCTCGTTTATATCGCGGTGGCTCTTCCGGTGTCCGCGAATTCCTCGGCTGCTTCTTGGCCGTCTTCTTCTGGTCACCGTCACAAAAAAAGGAGTTGCAACAGCGTGTTGTGTTCCAGCAACACGCCGGCCTCATCGGCGGGCCCAATGCAACGAGCTGTCCCATCTGTCACAAGCTCTTCCTAGGCGGTGAAGCACTAATGGAGCATATGAAGATCACCCACAAGGACCCGAATGCTTCTGGAGTTGCCAGTAAGTATCAATGAATCGTACAAGTCTCACTTTGTCTCATTGGTATTCCATTTTTTAAATTATTAACACTATTTTGAGACAAAGGGAGATGGAAATTATATAAAGGGAAGAGTAAAGTAACTCACATATTCCCGACTCGCTTTGGCGCGGGCATACGTGTCTTACTCTTTGGCATCGATACTTTTGGAGACTAACTCAAGCCACTAATCCTTGACTTGGTGCTTCAGGATTATCACGTTGTGTGTCATGAATGAATGTGGTTAACATTATAAGACAATCAGTAATTATAATCAAATGAATGATAATAAGTCAAAGGAAATTTGTGGGAATGATTGAGAAGGGAGAGTATGTATAAGATAAGCTTCTTTGTACTCTTTGGGGTGCTTTATCCTGCTTGGCATTGACCTCGACATTGTGTCGTACTATTGTTCCCCCCGCTGACTGCCCCACCTCCGTTGCCGGGGTTTACCTAGCGAAGCGAAGGACCGCCAACCATCCATGTCCAGTCTGCGGGAAGCACTACGTCAATGAAGGCAGCCTCAGAAAGCATCTTGCCTGTCATCCTGAAACTAGTCAACTCAGCACGAACCTCAGGATGTGGCCGTGTTCCGTTTGTCAAGCGGTTTACACCCACGAAAGCGGTAAGTTCAATGATTTCGACGAAAAAAGACTAAATTATATCAAAGCTAGTTTTCAATCAATGACATGTAAATTTTTTATGTTTCTTAAGGTCTTCTGAGTCATATGGAACACATGAGGATGGATCCAAAACATCAATTTGCAGCGCAGTATGTTCTAAGTCGAGCTGCTGCTGAAAGACGTGAAAGAGAGCTTCTGGCTGGTTCGAGTTTAGGTAAGGTTATCCTAAGGTCCTTCCTTCTTGGATCCCCTAGATAGATGAAAATCTCCCCTCTTATTGACGAATCCTAACTCCTGATCAATCATTAATTTACACAACGGTCTGACTGACGTTCTCTCGGCTGTTCAGGAGCGGGCTTGGGTGTGTTGACGAGTCAGTCGGGAGGACCGCAGAACTTACAGCAGCCACCAATGTGCCCCTCGCCGTCAGCTCATTCGGACAGCAGTAGTGGCAATGGAAGACTGTCTTCGGCCGGTAGTGAACCTGGTACGCTTCCTATCTCAGTTAAAATTCTATATCCTCCATCACACAATCATCCCTTATATGATGATACTCCAAACATCCAGAACATGGGGACCAGAGGGTGGGACATTATAACTCATACAATTGTAGAATTATACTCCATATTTTTATGAATATCTTCAACATTTTTCTACGATTTCAACATCACTCAATTATGATCAATATATATTTATATGTATATTAGCTTTAAGAGCTCAGTAATTTTCAAGACCTAACTCACGAGAGCAGATTTTTGTGCAGGCACCGGTTTACTGAATAATAACAACAATAACAACAACAACAATATGGCATCGCCGGGACCAAGCGGCAACAAACTTAGTGAAATGCTTAGAGCAGGAAGTCAACCTACTGCTCAACAGTATCACGATGAAATGCAGTCGCAACAACAAAGAATGGCTGTGATGGCAGCAGCCGTTCAAGCAGGTGAGTTGCAGGATAAAAGTTATTCCGTTGAATAATTAAAAAAAATAAAATTGTCTAATTCAATATTGTATACTTTGAAAGGTCTTCAAAATTCAGTATCTCCAAATCTATCTCCAGTAGATGTAGCGTCATTAGCAGCAGCGATGAGAATGGGCAATAATGGTGACATGAGTGGAAGTGCTCAAGGATCGACAGGTCCTCAACAACAAGGTGTTCAAACTGGTAATTCTGAACAAGCGCTAAGGATGCATCAAGCTGAAGCATTACTACGATCTCAAGCAGAAGCTGCACTAAGACTCGCGGTAACTTGCGTTAAACAACTACTAAAAATTCAATTGAAATCGTAACGTACTATTGTTGATAATGTATAATCTTTTTAGGTATCACAAGCCGCAGCAGCGGCAGCGAGTTCTGCGGTAGGAGGTGACATGAGACATCACTTGGGACAGCACAATGGAGGTGGTGCGTCCGGGATGCCTGGCCACCACGCGAATCAGCAGCTGTCCCAACCTGAGAGTATATCACCAGACATAGGTAAGTCGACGCAGATGATGAGGAGCCTCGGCGACGACTTGCAATCCAACAAGCGCGTTCGACTAACCGCTAGCCTGATTCCATCATCAGGGGAGGCGTTGCGACTGCAGGAACAGCGGTTAGAGCAAGCGCTGAGACTACACACCGATCCTCGTGCGTTGGGGTTAACCTTCCAGCACGTTGTTAACCAGCAGAACAATCAACAACCATGAAAGTTCAGTTACTACTGAGACGAGTGGACCCCTTGGGCTAACGAGACGTCCTTACAAGCAGAGCGCGATCACATGCATCAACAACAGCAACAGCAACAGCTACTCCATCATCAGCTGCAACACCATCAGCGCTCTACACCAATGAACGATCAAGGAACATCGGTGCATCTTGAGGACAGAGGTATGAAGAGGAAGGCCGACGACATGACGGCCGGTGAGAGCACGTAAAAACTTCTTCATACTTCTAATTCTCACACCCAAGTGCGGTCAGCATCACAATCACTCGCTGTCTCAGCAGTAAGAGTCATTTTTTAAACAATTGGACAATATCTAATGTTATATAAATTAGCAAAAACTCATCGCGAATTGGCTTGTCTTCCGGCTTAGGAATTTAGCCTATAAGTTCGCAAATTTTCTATATTGTCGTTGTACGGTGCAGTGTTTTCCTATTTTGACAAAAAAAAAAAGATACCAATCGAAAGATAAATTTTCTTAAAGTACTCACCAATAGAGAAACACTTGACGCCGGAAAACGTGCCATAAATGCTAACTCACACTTGCAAGGTACTATGGTTTTAGTACAAGAGTCTACACCAAGATCAAGGGGATGTAACGGGCGAATCCTCTGACTCTTGGTGATGACTGAAAATAAAAAATTAAAAACTTAAGATTTCTTAAATATAAATATAAATAATTAATAATGAAAGAATAATTTTTAAACTTGTCTTGCATAAAGACTTTAATGTAAATGATTAGTTACAAGGATTTTAAAAAAAATGAATAACGCAAGAAAATATGCAATTAACGGACAGATTGCTCTGACAGACGTATCGACTGAATTATAATCAATATACACTTGTTTACACTTTATAAATAGTACACATACACAATACATAACACAATTATTATACGCGCGCGGATTATACACATTAATTATAATGTGTAATACATTGATAATTAATAACAAATAAATGTGTGCTTGGCGTGGCACAAAAACTATTAGTACGTAAGACGAACAAACAAAATATAATTATTACAAACAGTTATATTATATATATTATATATACAATACAATATGAGGAAAACGAAAAAAAAACTAAACACAATGCGCAATGCAAGTGACAGTTTTTTTTCGTAAAAAATCAGAGAGATAAAAAAACTAAATGCTAAATATTATAAATATATATTATATATAAATATTATAAATAATTGAATATAGGGTTTATGAAATTTAGGATTAAAGATAGGTCAGAGTATGTATGTGAGTGTACACGAATATCCATGCGACAATTTTGAATGTGTGATTGCATAAATGTATGAGTGCGATTGCTTGAATGCATTATTTTTGAATCAAATTCATTATTTTTGCATAAATATTCGTGTACATTTTTTATGAGTGCAAAAAAATAAAGTATGAAGGAGAGACTGAAATTTAGAATCTTGTGTGCTTGAGGTAATCTGAGGTCCTGTGATCGTTAATAAGCGAAATATTTTTTTATTTCCGAAGTGGGTAAACACGTAACAATTTTTGCGTCGTTTCGAATCTTTTAAACTTTGCAATATAAATATCGTTACGTTCTCGCAATATTAAGCAAAAAGATAAAGTAAAATAAAAAAAGGGAAGAATCGAGTGGGAGAAAAATAAAAAATAAAGTATAATATGATGAAGACGAAGTAATATTTTAAATATTGCCGCGGTGTGATTAAATGGCGCGTTACATTATTATTATAATGGTGATTGGTCATTCGTGCTCTCAATATGGGGAACAAAAATTGATGAAATATTAATGCAAAATTGTTTTATATACTTTTTTATTTGACGTTAACTCTTTTTACGACTTAATGACCGCAGACTTGTTGAAAAATTATCAAAAAAAAAAAAGTAATAAAGAAGTGGCTTTAACGAAAGCGTAACATTAAATCTATGACAATATTTATTAAAAATATTTTTTTTCTGATATTCTTATCTTCTTTTTACTTTCTTTTAATGTAATTAATTGAATCGATAAAAAAAATCAATCGCAGACTGAAGAGTGTGGAATGAATGGAAGCTAATTTCGTTCTGCCGAAAAAAATACAAAAAATTCCTTCTTCTACCCGTTCTTAAATCTTTAATGTATTTTAACAAATATTATTATTTTTTCATATTGATTATTTTTATAAAATATCATATCGCATCTTGGCCAGAATTAAAACGTATCACTTTACTCCTTCCTACGTAGGTACGTAAAAAAAAATACATCGAGAGAAAGAGACTTTTTCAAATGAATTTTTTGCTGTTTATGTTCCTCTCATGTTTTCAATCGTGTAGCCTTACTATGGACAAAAATCGTTGAAAAACGAAATTTATACTACAAAAAAAGTAACATCATCTTTGTTGAAACATATGAGAACACCTAAGGCTTCTCACTATCCGAATGAGATAAGAAATGCCGAGGATTCATCGTCAAAGCTACAGTTTACATCTAGATCGTTGGGTCTCTCAAACTTGGCTTATTAAATTCAAATAAATCATTTCATCAAAAAATTAGCAACAATTTGATAAATTGAAAATAATAAAATTTCGATAGAAGTTTTATAAAAAAATACAATGATAAATTTTCAAACGTTTTGGAAAGAATGAATTTTAAATGCTAAGTTTGATCGATTTCTAACAACCTAGATGATTCTCCAGTTCTCTTCCCAAGAATTTTTCGTTACAGAGTGTTTTTCATCCGAATTTCCGTTATTGATGTAAATACACCTCAGGATAAACCGCAGAACGAGCAGTTGAACGAGTAATGCATAAAGCATAATGCAAAATAGGGTTAGTTTATCAGTGTAAATACCTAAAGCGTTAGAATGGGTGCATACCCCCATTCACGCAACCAACATAATACTTTTTCATGGAATTCGAGCTTTATGTTCGTCAATCGGCGCACATATATGTACCGACAGACAAGTTTTCCTCTTTCTTTTTCGGAAGACACAAACACACACGCACACTAATTGAAAAAAAATACAAATTAATACGGCATTGCGATGAATTGTACAGAATAGGATAGATTTAAGCCTTCAAATGAATTTTACACATTCACACACCTTAATACGCACTAATGTGGCACGACTGGCCTTTTTTTTATCAGGATAGGGACCAATATTTTTATTTCATAATCAATTCTTTCTTTTTCTGCATCAGATTCTTTTTATTTTCAATTATTGTGAATTTTTATTTAATTTTGATTTTTTCATACACGAATCATCCAAAACCCTTCCAATATTTCCATCAAGACAAATAAAAACGAAAAGTTAATAAAAAATGATTGATTGTGATAAATTAAATTAATTTTTAGTTTTTTTTCGAGCTTTGGAATGAGAGTTTGAATAGTGAAAATGATTAGTCATGTTCTATGAGGAAGGGAAATAGAAAATAATTAATTTTTTAGCACTCTGAATTGATTAAAATTACGTTTTATCGGTCCCAGAGAGCAGTTAGAAATATCAAAAATTTTAAAACGTGTTAACAAACAAAACATCAACCACAAATACCTAAAAGATTTAAAACAACATCAAAACAATAAACAATTAAAAAACACCTGCACGCCGTAAATCCTTCATGACCACACAAAGCCATGGAACGATTGACAGTTGACAGAAGTTAGCCCGGTGCATCCTGCCGTGCGCCGAGGGTCGATTTTCTGAGGTTTCGTAGTAAATCTTAAGATTTCTTTGATATTTCAAATAAAATCATCTTTATAAGATTAATAAAAAAAAATATGTAATCATACAAAAATCAATAAAATGAACCCCAGAAAAAAATATCCCAAGGCGCCGACGCGTGCCCCGCGAAAATGTAAAATATTTCAATTTAATTAAAAGTAAAAAAAAAAAAATGAGAATATAAAAATTATTAATTCAAAAAAATCCCACAGGTACAATAGCTTGTAGTGTATGTTCTGTAATCGAAGAAAGATAAAAAAAAATGACGTGACGGTTACGCCACGTTAAAAAAAAAACAAAAAAAAATAATTTACAAATATATTGATTTACATATGCCCGTAACTCATAAGGGGGTTGATAGCGCGGCCTCTTCAAGATTCACAGACTGATAAGAGAGACAGAAAGAATGTAATGAAGGTTTATTTAAATACAATCCAATATGTAAGTCTCTTGAAAAATAAAAACCACAAAAAGTTTAGAACCCCTGATTTCAGGTGGTAACGCGTGAACGCAGAGAATTGATACAAAAATATTGATGAATTATTTTCTGCGTTAAATATGATCAAGTCTCGTTGAAATCTGTATGAAGTCTAAAAGGTTGTTGAGTTAACCCCGCCAATCATAATCTTAATCTCTTCATGTAAATTGCTAAATGTTTATAACTAAAAAAATGCCATAGCCCGGATGCGCTGGTGTATACTCCCAGTGCATACACATTCACAAATACGACTCGATCTTGATTAAAATGCAAATCCGCAATTGTTGATGCGGTAAATTGGTCCAACAAAACTAAGACAACAAATATAGATAAATAATTGAAATATCTAAAATATATTCACAATGATACAGACATCTTAAGTGACAATTCATAATTGATACAGAAAGACACAGTTAAAAGTAGTTTCCATTCGTGTTTGTTGCCCACTTCATGAATGGACTCTATTATGCCCTGGTTCTCGGAGCGTGCCCTCCCGTGCGCGTTCGGAAACACACTTCTCATACACGGGGACACACATTTTTCGTATTTATTTCTTATTGAAATAAATCACTAAAGTTGTGTGAGCCTCACAAATATTACACACACATCATTTTACACTTGGAAAAAAATAATTACAATTACACTTATTACTCAAATGTACACAAATACACACTACGGATATGTAAAGCCAATTGATTTTGTAAATTGCCGAAATACCTTTCGATAAATTACGGAAACACGAGGGAAAATTATTCAAAATTACACACATTTTAACAAAGAAAAAAAAACGTAAAATTCGGAAACATTCTCGTCTTTATTTTCCAATTTATATTTGAACAATATTTCATTTCCAAAATGTTATTATAATAATAACGTTACGATTGTATCAATTTTAAGTCAAGTGTCTGCGAAAGTTTATTTAGAGAAAAATAAACTTACGATTTAGTAAAATAATCGGGAATTCGCGGCCTTTGGCATACGTTTGGATGCAGTACCGAGGACATATTGGATGTACTCGAGTTGTAACCATGCGCTCGTTACCGATTTATGATAATATTAAACCCGGATATGACAAAATAACCAATGGCAAATGATATATTAACTATTGAAAGAAGTTATTCATTAACTAGTTAAACGAGTTTGTAAAATCTGACTAAAACATTGCCATTTTCTATCTAAACTGGACTTAAGAGCAACGGCTTAGAGAGCCATTGTTTTAGGCTAAAAGCGAACGAAAGAAACAATAAGATAAAAAAAAATATGAACAATGTATGTTTGTTTTTCCAACGGGTTTTAATTTTTTAATGAAATAATCTTACTATCTGAATATATGGCTATACAAATAGGGGCATCTTGGATTATTTCAATGGTGATCTGAGGTATAACCGAAATTGTATGCCGTGTGTTTTTAAACCGTAAGTGCGCAGCATATGAAAACCGACAGTCTATAGCAGTGCGAGCGCCTCGGCAGCGAATACGTTTTCACGATTCGATCTCGACCGAGCCTCCGTGATTATAAACCGGAATAAGTTGTTTAAATGTCCACTATATAATCGAGAGTCATAGTTGTTAAGGCGATGAGTGCGAGCGAATTGTCCTCAATGTTCATCCACTGAATGGTTTGATTGAATATCTCTATTAATGATCAATATTTTAAAACATCAATTGATTGTTAAAAATTAACAGTGACAATTTTGACATTCAACGCTCAATCTCATCGCGCGGCCTGCAAATGAAGCAACTGCTATTGTCATCAATAAAAGTCGCTTCATTACAGGCCACTGATTTTTCGAAATATTCTCCGAGCTTTTGTTCACGGGAATATGTTGATTTTATGTCCCTCCAAGTCCCTAAATTAGTCTTACGTATGCGTATCCGAGGTGTAAGACCGGATCACTATCAAAAATATTTCATCATTTTGGTATTCTTCAAACAACAATAAGATAAAAAAAGAAATTTCTTACAATAATAATTAAAATATCTATCTTCTGATATGATAAATAAAATCGTTCTGGAATACTTTTTAAATAAAAATAAAAATAGTTGAAAACAATATTATAACCGCTAAGTGGATGTCTCTGTCAGGGTTATTACTTTTTGTTACAGTGAAATACAATTTCTCAAGTATAACTCAGCAAATAGTAGAATGCATACAATAGTAGTACAGTAATTACAGGTGTACCGCAATTAAACAGTTACAAGTAAGTAAGGAATAAACAACAAGATATAAAAAAAAAGTACGCAAGTCGTCTTTTTCCATTATTGCTCGTTGTATGCTGCAATTTATTTAATAAATATACAAATTTTAATAAATAAATTTCCTATTTTTTTTCAAATAAATTTTGGCTAATAATTAAAAATCCATTTAAAAGTAAGATAAATTTTTTTAGACAATAAAATAATGTCTTACCTTTTAAAAAGTCTTCCTATTCTGAATATGATAATATATAATATATTTAAAAGAAAAAAAAATTATATAATTCTTGGGTCAGCATATAAAATATCGAGCAAATTCTTTAAATAAAACTAAATGTATTAAGTGTTTGTAGTTTAGCTGAAAATGACAAGTAAATGCAATTGTATAATCGAATTAAACAATAGATGATGATAATAATGAAGACGATGATGCGATTGTATGGTAAAGTGAGAAAAAAGCAACCATATTTAAACATAAAAATATATAACCGTATGCCCACCCCCATCTTAAACCAACAGTTCACATTGTCAATTTTTGACGTAAACTACATAATAATCCTTACAGAATGCATAATGCAGCCACATATAATTAATTATCGTTATCCGGTTTAGATTGTAAGCAAAAACACGATGGTCATTAACATCGTGTCATTAATCGCAGAGGCATTCACTAGGGTATAAATTATGATTTGGGACTCGGATACGAATCGAAAGACACCTTGATTGCTTGACGACATTCTGACATTGACTAGCTGATATTACAAAAAATCTCCTTAGCAACTGTCCAATAAATTCACTCGAATTTATTGTTAATAACAGCGTTATGATGATTTATTTGTATTTCAAGTTTTAGTCATAAAAAGGACAAAATGGCCCGTCAAGCACTCAGGTATTCCCCTAAGAAAATTTTTCATTAGTATTTCGAGTGCAACCTTAAGTTAACTTCACTTATGGCATTTGCTTTAACACAATACAAACTTCCCTATCACAAAATATCCACCAGACATCTTTCCCACAGGTGAAAAATAAATACAGGTTACTAAATAATTATCCCCTCAGAAAACAGTAAAAAAATTAAATTGTATTTAATAAAAAAAAAAAAGCTCAAGAAATTCCCCATAATCAAGTTTCACATACGCGTTGTTCAAGTTCGTTCGCGAAGTTTTTAATCTTTTTTTTTGTTGAGAGTTAATAAGCGAAATTATCTGTCATATTTAATCAAAATTGAAATTGTTGGGCAATCATAAAATCTTACATAAATTTCTAATAAATTGTTATTCTATTTTCGAATGAAATTTAGATGAATCAAATAATAAAAATGAATACAATAAAACATTATAAATAACTTATGACAGATAATTTATAATTATAAACTCCGAATTGCGAACGTTAAGTTTCTGATCTTCAGACTTTTACGTACAGTTATATTTACCATTAACACAGCGCAGGTTATTGTTAATTTTTCATCATATCTTTTTTGCTACATATGATATCCATATCCTGATTCAAAGATAATTGGAAGATATGTTGCAAAATATTAGATATGATAATTAATGGTATCGATTAAGTTTGGTCGAAGTCCCCTTTTGGGCAAATTACACCGACGCACTTTTCGATCCCGCAAGCTATAAATAAATAAACAAACAACCTTTACCAATCAATAAATCGAAAATATATGAAGATAATTAGTTTAATAAAAAGAATACAATTCGAATTTAATTCTAGTCAAAAACGGTACAAAGCCATAAAAGGCGAAATCGGTACTTATTTATTATGCTGATAAAGTGAATAAATTAAAAAAATAATTAATCGATGTAATGTACAAAAATGGTAAAGCTTGGTTTTTCATAATTATCAGCTTACGGGATGAAGAATAAAATATGAAAATCCGCGTTGACAAAACAGCCTCTTTTCGTTACGTCGTTCTCGAGCCGTTGAATGAAAAAATCGGCGGTCGAACTCGACAAGTCGATCCTTGTAATAAGCAAAAAAATAATAATAATAAAAGTGTAAAAAAAAGCATAACACTCTTCAAATGGATGTATACGGTGCGAATGAATCTTTGAAGCTTCGGTTGTTCTTTTGTACGTCGTCCCACGCTTCCAGGCGCGAATGTAGTCCTTATGGTCTGCTCATTATCACCGATTTTTTATCTTACTTCCGTAATAAATATTACAATTTGAAAATCATTCAAAATTACATCGAAAAAATAATAAAAAATTACGGAACAGTGCAACCAATGGACTTTCATTTTTTCGCTGACTCGATACCGGGGTTGACTTGCGATATACAATGATTATACTAAATTATGACAATTGAAAGCGTATTTTCTAGATAATAATAAATTTTTGTTTATTTTAATTAAAATTCACTAGAAAAAATACATTTCAAAATGTTCAGTGTTCTAACTCTTGATAATCCCTTTATTTCATTATTATTTTTATCATTATGTTATCGTAAATATTATGGTTATTAATATTATTTGTTTATTTTAATGAGTTAGATATAATTATTTCAATTTCACGTGAAAAATAATCTATACGTAATGACGAAAACGTAAAAGGAACATAAATTTTTTCCTACTCGCCTCCGTTATTTTTATTATACTAGTTTTTAAGCCTTACCAACTGCGGCGTAATTTTTTCACTCCCTCAAGTAGAATAATTTTTAATACGTATATTGTTGACGTTTAAGATTTTTACGAAACGTGTTTTTTAATAAAAAAAAAAAAATAATAAAATAATATTTAATAAAATAAACTAAAAAACGCGTTTTCGCGAAAACAATGACTGAATGTTTGAATAAAATATATTTTTCATTTTCTTTATTTATATAATAGTTGAATTTAAAAGCTTGAGTAACTAGTTTAAATGGGAAAAATAAAATAGTTTGTTACTGTGTAGTTGAAGTTGAAGTTGGAGCAGAAGGAGAAACTTGTCATTAATTATTAATTTTTTAAAATTAATACTCTATTTTTATTTTAATAAGTTAAGTAAAACACAATTAATAAAACTTTTTTAGACTTTAGCGTATGTGTAATTTAATTTTTACAATCAAATCAATTTAAAACGAGGAAAAACGTACTAGTAGAATTAGTAAAAGTTTGCCATTAAATATTAAATATTAAAGTCCTTAAACGTGAGATTATCGGTGTACAAATTCATCGAATTATGTTTGCTAGTCAGAATTGGTTTAAAAAAATGATAAAGCAAGCTAGTAATAACAACAGAAACTAATGTTTTAATTGAAGAAATTTTAATATTAAATTATCACGCGAAAAATGTTATTTAAACTTATTGCGTTCAATGATTAATTATAAATGATGTAAAATAAAATAATAAATTTTTCTATTTTTTGCAAATCTTATGTTTGGAAGATGATTAAATGAATTAAAAAATTTTTATTATTTAATAATAATACGCAGTCTGCTGCCACTACTGCTACGACTACGAGTATATTAGCAATTACCACTATTGAAACGCTAATTTTATAACTAAGTACCTTAGTTTTTATTATAATGATTATTATTATTATTAATTAATTACTATTATTATTATTATTAATTATTTCTATTATTATAGTTATTATTATTACGTTTATTGGTATTCTACATTATTTTTATTGTCTTTATTACATTTGTAGACAAAAAACTTACCGTGTTGTTCTTCATCTTTGTTTGCATGTATTTTTGTTACTAGATGTGATATGTCTAGTTTCGTGTGTCTTTACAAAGACAAAATAAATTTATTTCGTTGAAAGGAATATGCTGAAAGATTAAAAAGTATGATAAATTAATAAAATGAATAATTATTAAAATAAATTAATAGAAGATAAAGAAATGAAATGATTTATTTAAAAAAAACATCTCTAAAATACGCTGGAGATTGTCACACGGAATTTAGGAACCACGTGCATTTAAATAAATAAAATACTGTTAATCCCATTATTTTATGTTTTTATTTTGAATTATCGGGTAGATTTCACATCGCATTTTGATGAAAATAAAAATTCCTTTTAGATAGTAAATAAAAAAAGACAACTTAAATATTTATGAATAAAAAAATTATTATCTTAAAAGTAATAATGTGAAAAACTTATACAAAAAATATGCTCCAACTCCCGATAATTGACGACTTATAATTAATTACTATTAGTTGATATTATTAAACGCTATTATTGCCTATTAAATAGTTGCAGGTATGGATTTTTGTAATAATTTGTTTGTAAATGGTTTTTTCTAAACAAATGTTATCAAGTGTTTCGAAACAGCGTCTCATTATACATTGAATTAAACAATAATATTGTTGTAATTAAATGAATAAATATGTAAAAAGAAGAGTCATAAATATGTGCAATTTCGAAACAGTTGATTGCAAAAATTAGATTTTTTATTGATTAATTTATAATTAATTTATAATAAAAAAAAGAAAAAATTTTCCATTCTTTTAAAGTTAATAAATTTTTATAATTAAATTATTTTTGCAATTCTACAATTAATTAAAGTGGAAAATTTTCTCCAAAAAAAAAAAATGAAAACCATATTATCACGATCCATTTATGGATACTGAATGAGAATTTCGGTAGGAGGAATATTTAAATATTTATATTTTCCTCTTAAAAATATCTTTGGAATAAATAAATAAGTAAAAAATGGACTATTCGAAATTCGGACAGTTCCCAGGACCGTATATATGTATGTTAAATTTGTAAATAGGTACTCCTGAAAATTAAAGGTTGAAGGCAAATAAAAAAATAAGGACGTTAATGAAAACTACTAGGCAATGTTTAGGCTAATGAATCAATCATTTGGTTAAAAATAATGACAAATAATGATGGAATGAGAGTAAGAAAGAATGATGAAACAAAAATAAAAAATAACCCAAGCGACTGTCATTGCGTAGAATTAGAAATAACTAATGATGTGAGATTTTTAATGCTGACAAAAAAATTTTAACCTCTTTATTTCTACAAAGGAACGTTTTCTTCTTGAATAATTTTTTAATTGATTTCTTTGTTTAAAACTGAATCATAAAATTGTAATTCTTATAATACATTAAAGTATTTATGATTTGGTTCAGGAAAAAATAAGGAAAACAATTAAAAATTATAATAAATTCTAATTTTCTTCATAGTTCCTATCGCGTTTTGTATTTTGCGATAGTGAATGTGAGAAATTAATGTAAATAAAAAAAATGGAAAAAAAACCTAGGATCACTTGAAATGCTAAAATGAATAAACAAAAGTAATTCTTTGTACATAAAAATATTGGAATAAAAATTTTTGTAGAAATTAAGATTTAACGATGCATTTCAAGTAGAGGAGATAACGTTTCTGTAGAATAAATGGGGTTAAATTAAATTTAGAATCTTAGAAATTAAAAGAATGTTTATTCATGACTAGTAATTTGTTGATATAAGAATGTATGGAAGATTTAAGAAAAAAATACAATTTTGAGAGTGTATGAATGTATGAGCGAAAGAAACAAAATTTTACTACCAAGTGGACTAGAACCGCAATCGATGGGCATTATTAGGGTGAAAAATTAAAATTTCGGAGCATCTTTTTGAATAATGATGAAATATTTAAAAACATGAAACAATCTTTAAAAAAAGAGCGTCCAAAATTGTACCTATTTTCATTTTATAAATTATTACACGTTAATATTTATGTGACGATGACGACGACCTAACGATTTATTAAAAGTAAATTAAAAAATAATTACTTGTGAGTTGTAATAATTAACTGTAAAGCAAAACGAGTGAAAAAAATTGTATCTATATACGGAAGTGATGATATAATGTATTCGAGTCGTGATTATGTATAGTTAAGGCTTTAATTAATAAGAATGGAAATGACAATTTTAGGCAAAAAAAAAATTATGAATTATCGATAAATATTTAACGGAAGCTTTCACTTCCGGTGTAATCATTGTACATTGTATGTTGACAGGAGCGTTCCCTATAAACTTTTCTCAAAAAAAAAAACAAATATAAAAATAAACCCGATCGAGAATTGTAGGAACAAATGGGTGAAAAAGGAAATTTAAACAAAATATCGGTGAAATTTTGTGAGGAATAAAAATAGTTTTAACATTTTTTTTGTTTTTGTAATGACTACTGTATAATGAGACGATAAACCGTGATAAAATATGTTTCTTCTTATTCTTTTTAATAACTGAATATTTAGAAAAAATACATTTCAACAATGGAAAAATAAAAATGAAAAAATTGAAGAAAATGTACGTTTTCGCTTTAGTCACTCCGGCTGTGATAAAAATCTTTTTTATTTTTAATTTTCTGAAGAACAAAGAAGTTCAAGAAATCTTTCAAAAAGAAGATTATTGTAGACATTTTTTATTACGTACAAATTTGAATAAAATAAGACAGAAAATTATTAAACAAAATGATTTTTATCAAATCCAAGTGTACTTTCATGCAAAAAAAAAAAAAAATACAAAAATCCAAAACAAAATTAATCTAACGATTGGAAATTTAAAAAAATAACCCGATGACATTTCTCTTTCACACATTCGCTAACTACTGGCGTCCGTAGGTCCTTTCTTCTATAAAGTCTTATAAAAACTTGAGGCAATGCATAATGAATAATAAATAATCAAATGATTTATGTAAATTTATACCACTGTGACTACATAGCAACTGCCGACCTACGGACGCTAATCCTTGTTCCTTCATCCTTTATCAGTTTTGTTTTTAACAATAAAATATTAATATTTAATCATTTTCTTTAGCAGTATTCGTTAAATTAAAGAAAAAAAAACATTAATTTTCATTTTTTCAAGTGTGAATGGCTGATGAAAAAAATGTAAAAAGAAAAGCATCGAGTTTTAAAGAACGACTAAAGCACATATTCGTCGGACTGTAGGAATATTTTGCATTAATTATATAAACACAAGATCCTTTATGATACTAAAAGGGAAAAAAGGTATTTAAAAAATAAAAAACGGCAAAAATTGCATTAAACAAAATAAACACGTGGTAAATGATAAATAACAAAATCTTTAGAAACGCGGCAATAAAAAAAGCGAAAACAAAAATGTACGAACAAATTCATTTGAAATGATAAAAAATAACAAAAATACTAACTTCGTTCCGAATTGTTTCAGTTTTACAATTCTAAATGTTTTCTATCGTTCTACTTTTCAACTATTTTTTTATTTTTCCCCCACATTTGTGGAGACAACGACGCTGCTATTAAACTAGAAAAAAATATTTAGCAAAAAAAAGACAAAAATTATTAACAAAATAACAAAAAAATTTTTTTTATCAAAACAGCGTTTTTGCCTCACAAATTTTATTGATTATCATTAAAAGAAAAAAATAACAAAAAAACTATTACTATTGTCATTATTATTAACATTTATTATTGTCATTATTATCACGATTGTCATTATTATAAAATAAAATGATAATGACTATTGCGATCAAATATTACGAATCATTATTATTACGTGGTACAATAAAAATTGAATAAGCATTCGAAGTTACAGTGAATCATGTCCACATCCCTCCTGTGTAAACAAAATTCTTTGAATTAGGTGCCTAAAAACTTTACTTATAATAATAATAATACTAATGATTATTAATAAACAAAGAAAACATTTCACTCAAAAATCTCTTTTCTATATTATTATTATTTTACAGATAAGTATTACTACTAAAAACAATTCATTATCATAACTCATTCCATCAATGAATATTTGTGTTTGTTCAAATTTCGAATTTAATCGAATTTTCTCTATAAAAATAATTTAATACATTGGTAATTAATTTCATGATTACAATTTATCAACAATAATTACAGCATTAAATCACTTTCCAAATAGAAAATTAAAAGTAATATTCCAGTATAAGAATTAGCCAATTTCTATTGCTCAATCAAACATCAATGTCAATAAAAATGAATATGTGATATTTTTGTTTCAATAATAATTTTCTTATTAGATCTTTTAATACAAAACATAGGCATCAAATTCATGATACATTCAAATCGACCTATTAAAGATATACATAAAATGATATAAAAAAAGATACTTGGGTTTATCGAGCACTGACTTTGTTATCTCATCTGAATGCATGTAAATTCTGAGATTGTATTGAGTGAGTTAAGCTACATGTTGAAACGAACGAAGCAGCTCTCTAGTTTACAAATGAAAGTATACAAGTCTAGATGTTAAACTCATCATCTAGAGCCTCATTACAAATCAATTTAGAGTCAGCTGACATTTATTATTCTATTAACGATGATGCTACGGCTTGGAACTAATCTATTACGACTGAATGCGGAAACAAACACACCAAAAGTTTATCAACTTCAGAGGATTCTTACTAATAACACGGAAAAAAAATTCAGATACACGAAATATGGATTTTCGATGTATTTTGGAGCATCAAATACTTTTCTATATGGTAATCAAATGAAAAATCAAGGTCAGTTAAATAATTCATTATTATTATGATCTTTTTTTATAATGAACATTCTAGAATTACTAGTTTTATATTAAAAATAATTAATTCTTTATCAACTCTATTCAATCTTTTTTTAGGAAACAGAAAATGTCTGTTTTCAACTAAACCTGAAACCAAAAAAACTTGCCTTTATGATTTTCATGTAGAACATCAAGGTCAGTTATTATTTAATAGATAAGTGAGTGAATCACATACAGCTATTAATATATTTTAATGCTTACTCAATCAAATCGATAGGAAAGATGATAGATTTTGCCGGTTGGCTCCTACCAGTGCAGTACAAAGAAGCCATAGCAGTATCTCATGTCCATACCAGAACATTTGCATCATTATTCGACGTAGGACACATGCTACAAACCATAGTATGGGGCAAAGATTCGAGAGATTTTCTCGAAAGCCTTACCCCATGTGATTTGAAAGGATCACCCTGTGGTAAATCTCATTTAACTGTTTTCACTAATGAAGAAGGTGGAATTTTAGATGATTTAATTATTACAAAAGATGGAGAGGACAGATATTTTGTTGTATCAAATGCTGGAAGAAGGGATGAAGATATTGAAATTTTTAATGCACGTAAAGTAAGATATCTTAACATTTAATCGTATTAACATCATCTATTGTTTATTTGTTATCAATAGAATGACATTTTCAATTATTTTTACAGGATGAATTTGAAAAAAGAGGAAAAAGAATTCATTTAGAGTATTTAGATCCAATGGAACAAGGTCTAGTTGCACTTCAAGGACCTTCAGCAGCTAAAGTTCTCCAAAATTTAGTGAAAATTGATCTTAGCAAGTTAAAGTTTATGAATTCTCTGGAGACACAAATTGCCAAGATGAATGTCAGAATTTCAAGATGTGGATATACTGGAGAGGATGGATTTGAGATATCATTCAAAAGCAAGTATGCTAGAAGCATAGTAGAAAGCATACTACAAAATCCTGAGGTTAAACTAGCTGGGTTAGGTGCTAGAGATACTTTAAGGTGGATAAATAATCGATGATTATGGCCTATTGTTAATGGAGAAGAATAAATGTTATTTCAGGAAAAAATTTCATTTTTGTAGATTGGAAGCTGGACTATGTCTTTATGGACATGATATTGATGAAAATACAACTCCAGTAGAAGCTGGCCTAACTTGGTTAATTGGTAAAGTTAAATTCATTGATTATTTTCTTTCAAATAATGTTGAAATTACATTTTTTACATGCGGTATTACTTTTTTTTTTAGCAAAGCGTAGAAGAGAAGAAGGAAATTTTCCAGGTGCAGCAACTATTTTAGCTCAAATAGAATCAGGGGTGAAGAGAAAGCGAGTTGGATTAACATTGAATGCTGGAAATCCACCAGCTCGAGAAAAAGCACCAATTTTAACTTTGGCAGGAGAGAAAGTTGGAGTTGTGACTTCTGGTGGACCAAGTCCTACTTTAGGGAAGCCAATTGCAATGGGATACGTGCCAGTGGAATGCTCCAAAAATGGTAGTGGTGTTTTGGTTGAAGTTAGAGGCAAGACTTACAAAGCAACAGTTACAAAAATGCCATTCATCAAGACAAACAACTACACTGGATAACTTAAAAAATAAAACTGTGTTGTGAATAATTTTGTAAGAATTTCATTGTGTTGAATGTTTTTTTGTATTCAGGATTTTGATAAAGTACAAAATAATTTATGAAACTTGACCTCCATTTTTGATAATGAAGTCTGAAATGACTATTTACTTTATTTGTAATTTCAATACTGGAATAAAAGTTAAATATCATGAAACTGATGAAATTCATTAAAAAATCTTTGTTGAAGCTGTTCTAAAAATTGATTGTTAATAATTAGGTAGAAACTATTAAGTTGCCTTGGAACACTAATAAATAAAGAAAAATTTGTCGAAAATACAAAATACTTACCAAAAATGTACAAAACATTGATATTATCGATTCAATGAAAAGTATTTCCAATGAAATGGAGACCTTTTAGACGTCTTACTCGAGAATTTGGGTTAAGTACAATCAACTTAATGTTGTTAAAATATTTGTTATCATCTGATTGAGAATTAAGTACATGTACAATAATTTATATAACCAAAAATAGAATAAAAACCATGATTTCATATATTTCATTTCTTTTTTTCTTTCCTGAGTAAACTAGATTAGAAAACACTCACTTTAAAAGTGTTAATTTGTTCATTTTTTTGATGTTCGAATTTGAAATTCAAGACTGCGCAGTATGTTTTGTTAAAACCAGAACATTATGAATTGAAGACGACTGTTCTCAACCCAAATGCAATTACGTTTTGATAAATAATTTTCTCCGCGTTAGATGTCGCGGTATGTCAATTATGCTGGGAGTGCGTTTTTCAAATTAATTTAAAATTCACACAATATTATTATTTTAATACAAATAATTAAAAGATAGTTTATTATTTATTGAATTCATTGATGAATATATAATGCTTATAATCTTAGTGGAGCTGGCATTGTATCAGGTTTACCGTTGATGACAGCTAAAATATTATTTGCTGTTATTATTGACATTTGTTCTCGAACTTCAATGGAGGCACTGCCAATATGTGGAAGAAGAACTGAAAAGGAAAAATTAAAATGGAAAGTCTGATTACGAGTTATTTAATATTATAATAGAAAAAAAGTTACCACAGTTTTCAAGTTTTAATAACTCATGATCTAATGGAATAGGTTCAGGAGTCATAACATCAAGTCCGGCAGCTTTAATTTCCTTGTTTTTTAGTGCTTCAATTAAATCTGGTTGATTGACTATCTCTCCTCGACTTACATTAATAAATATTGCATTTTTCTTCATTTTTTTAAACTTTTCAGCATTGAACATTCCTTTTGTCTCAGGAGTTAAAGCAATAGTTACAATCACAAAGTCACTTTCTTCTAACAATTTATCTAATGACATTTTTTCTCCACCAAATTTTTCAGCTTCTAATTTCTCAGATCTACTGGAATATAGAATCCTTGAAGTACGGAAAGGTTTTAAATATTCACCTATTCTAGCTCCAATACGACCTAATCCAACAATTCCAATTGTGGACCCTGCTAGACCTGGTCCACACATCCAAATTGGTGACCAAGCTTTCCATTCTCCTCTATTATACAAAAAAAGATTTGTATTTAACAAAAATAAACGAATATATTTTTTTTGTTGTAGAAAAATTTTATATAAATTAATACTAACGCTCTAAGAGCTTTTTCAGCTTCAATTATTCTCCGAGATGTTGCTAAAAGTAATGCTACAGTCAGTTCTGCTGTTGCATCTGTTAAAACGTCCGGAGTATATCCAACATGGATATTTTTATTTTTTAAAGTTTTCAAATCAAGATGATCCAATCCAACTGACATTGTTGCAACTACTTTTAAATTAGGACCAGCTGAATTAATTACTTCTTCATCTATTTTGTCAGTCAAAAGACAAAAAACACCATCAACTCCTTTGATCATGGAAATAAGTTCATTTCTAGGAATGGGTGATGTGTTTTTCCATACTACCAAGTCACACCTAAAAATTTGAAATAATAATAATTTAATTTAATAATTTACATTATATCAATTAAATTAGTAAGTAATATTCATTATACTTTTCGTTTAATAAAGAGTATCCTGAAGCTGGAATATCTCCTCGAGTGATGAGAACCTTTGGACGTGACATTTTACGAGTTATTTGTCTGAAATTATAATTATATTGAAATGTAAATTTAATGTTATTTAATATAAAAGATGATGCTCTTAAAGGCACTCCTGTAATTTTATGTAAAATCATATCGAAATCAAAACTATTTTATATACTGTAATTTTAACACATAACCTCTCACAAGTTCATAACCTTTTGAGTGAAAGAAATCAAAAGATATCAACTATTTTCTACAAAGAATATTATGTTTATTTTCAATTAAAAAATATTTTATTAATCATTCTTACTTACATTAAATCTTTTCTACGCAATATATAAATCTATGCTTGTTTTACATTCAAAATTCTGTTATACAGAACTCATGGATACTGGAATATATTTACGTGTACATTCACTTGATAAAACTTGACAAAAAAATTATAAAGTTTGTGTACTTTAAGTATATATGGTAGGTAATAAACGTTTTTGTATAAAATTATAAAGTTAGATATCTTTCATATTTATAAACTGTTTTTCATTTGATAATTTTTCTCAGCAGCCCAAAAGGTATTTTTCATTAACATTGCAACAGTCATAGGACCAACACCTCCAGGAACAGGAGTAATAAATCCTGCAACTTGTTTAACCTGCTCATAATCAACATCTCCAACAATCTTGGTTTTACCATCAGGAGTATCAACTCGGGTAATTCCAACATCAATTACACAAGCTCCTGGCTTAATCATGTCTTTAGTTACAAGTCCAGGAACTCCAGTCGCAGAAACTAAAACATCAGCGAGCCTGGAAAATTTAATCAACTCCTCTCGAGGCGTATGAATATGGCAAATAGTTGTAGTCATATCTAAAGCTCTCGTATCACCTATAATTCAAAATAATAAATATTATATACATTTCGTCGCTAGGTAGATTTCAACAAGTAAATATTTACAAAAATTACCTTTCCCATTGGCATGAAGCAGTAAAGCAGTTGGAAGACCTACATGTTTAGATCTACCAATAACAACAGCATTTCGACCCATAGTTTTGACTCCAGATCTCAGTATCAATTCTCTAACTGCCAAAGCAGTTGCTGGAACGAAACCTTCACTATCAGTACTAAGTTTGCCTAAATTTTCTGAATGGAATCCATCCACATCTTTATGCGGTAACACTGTATGACAAGCTTCCTTTTCGTTGAATCCTTTGGGTAATGGCAACTGAACCAAAATTCCATCGACATCTGGATCTTTATTAAGATTTTGAATCCTTTGAATTAAATCTTCCTGTTTAATATTTTCATTTAGATAAATGGTCTCAGCATGAATACCAACAGATGTAGCAGCTTTAACTTTTCTACCAACGTAAACTTCACTTGCAGGATCATTTCCAACTAAAATAGCTACTAATCTTGGTCTTTTTTTACCTGATGCTATCCATGAATCTACGACGCCTTTCAAATCATTCTTTATTTCCTGTGCAATTTGTTTTCCACTGATAATAACAGCTTCATTCCTTGCAAAAAAAAAAATTATTAAAATTTCATAATTATAATTCTGAAATACAATAATTACGTTATTTACCGAATGTTTGATGAATGAATCTGACGAGAAGGTAAATTAAAAAAAACTTTTAAGAATTTGACAGTTGTCATATTCTAGATTATATATTATAAATTAACTGTATTAATATTTCGAAAGCAATAATTTTCTATCTAAGTTTTGAATTAACGTACAACAAAAGTTTCTTTTACAATTTATTAATCCAAGAAATGTAAATATCTTGGTATATGACCGATGGCAACCCTGAATGTTTCTAAACAACACTTCGTATTGATCAGAATATTAGAAGAGAAAATATAAAACAGGTTTGCTGGATAACTTTCAATGGCTTTCTACATTTAAACTTGTATCTTGTTTTTTGATACATTATCGCAGGCATTGGCACATAATGCAGAACTTCGCTGTAGTTGTTGCGAGTTTTTATACTGATAAGCTTTTAGCCTATTCGATTTTTCAGACTAAAATAACACATAATAAACCATGCAAAATATAGTATTCCAATTCTACTTTATGCATCACAGAAATGTATCAGGCATTGGCGTCATCTTCAGCATATTCACGATACTATCATGTGCTTATTATACTTCACTGCCTTACTGACTTGAAAAGCTTTCCATTCATTTATATAAATGGATCTGAATGATTAATTAATTTATCGAACTTCAATCAATGAAGGAAAAAAAATGAATCAAATGAAAATTAAATTAAAAAGAATACATCAACATATATCATATTTTAAGTATGTTAAATTTTAATTATGATATTGCAAATTGTTACTAAACCTTTTTATTATATTATAATGCTGATGAAAAATTTATTGGATTCTATTTCATAATACTAGATGTTAACTACTTCAGAGAAATTTCGTCTTCAAAAAATATTTAATGAATTAAGTACAGTTCTGAATACTCTTCTAAGTTATCCAACCAGATATTCTGATAAATGACTCAACGCAAGTCTTGGTGAAAACAAAGTATTTATAATTTTTTTGAGATATTTTTAATCTATGAAATTTTGTTTGTTAAATACTTAATTTTTTTAGAATAGAGATATCGATTCATTGAATTATATTTATAGAAAAAGCAAACAATTTCCTGTTTATGAATTTAACTTTTCCCTCGTATTTCTTCTTTGAAATAATCCTAAATCTTAGTTATTTTACATTCCAAAAGATTATCTTTAATCAAAATATTGATTCAATTGTCATTAACTTGTAGAATATTTATTTTGTTTTAGAAAAATTATCTTGAAAAGTCATTCAAATTTTTCCACATAAAATCAATGATTTATTAAACCATCTTAATATTGTATTAACATTTTATATTATTGGCGAGTAAATGTCAATTAATTTGCTCTATTTTTTTCACATGTTTTTTTATTCATTGAAAACATGCAAAGACGAAGAACATATGTTTCATCCCCACTTAAGACTTTAATGGGCAACAGAAAAGCACTCTTATCAACTTAGAATATTCTAAGAGTGTAGGAGTGTCAAAGAAACTTATATATGAGCGACAAAAAATCGGTATTTTTCATACTATTTCACTTAAATGTACTACGTTGAAATGAAAAAGATATTTCCTTATTTGAAAATATTAATATTAAATAATTAATTAGTATAATTAAACCTAAAACCAGTATGATTTTTTATAAGAAATACTATCTTGAGAATACCAACAATCTCAAATAATACATAGAAACTTTTCAACAATAAAATAATTAATTTATGAGTGAAAATATTCAAAGACGTTAGTATGTTGCTTGATCCAAGAAGTAATCATTTTCAGCTGAGTTTATTCTCCCGCACTTATTTTACTATGTATACAAGAACATATCCGAGAATATACGAAGAGTGCAGTGGAGGGCAGGATGGCAGGCACGTGTGTACCAGTGTACCACAGTGGGCACAGTTGATCTCAGCAGACGAACAGCGTGTTAACAGAAACCCTGTGAGTTATAGAGACTAATACTCGGCTCTACAAGTGAGCCGAGTTGGGGAGAGAGCATTTATTTTCATCATAAGAGTGTTAATTCTCATTTAAACATCGAGATCATGCTCTCTTCAATGTCTCATCAATTTTTCTTCATCCTAAAAAATTTAGTTAAAAACTAGGAGTAAAGTTTGTGCTTAGTATTTTTGTGTTTAAAAAAAAACATGGCAGCTTGTCATCCACGTCCTCTCCAGCATCTACAGATTCAAGATAATTCACTCAACATTGGCAACCACCAAAATACACTTCAACAACAGCATTATCCTCCTCGTCTTCTTAATTGGGTTTATCTTGCAATTGCTGATCAAAATCCAACTCAGCACTCTGATCAGGTACTTTAGATTGAGATTTTCATCATTTTGAAGATTTTAATAGTGGCTTTGATCATCTTTCCAATTGGAAGAAGTTATGATGCCTAAAAAACCAATATATCAATCCACAATAACAGTTTTATGTATAATTTTAAAAATAGATTTATTTAAAAAACAAAAATATCACAAATATTAATAGAATTATGAACAATTGTTGCAGAGTAAATTATTACCAACAATATGGGGTAACTTTCCTACTGCTTCAACGCATCAAACTTACATGCAAAAAAATTCACTGAGTCCTGGATCCATTCCATTGGGAAGCAGTTTAGTCGACAGCATTGGTGACCTTGCAGAACATTTTAATGAGCTTGGATTACTTGACAGAAAACCTACCAAAAGACCACCGTCAACGTATCTCTGTCATTTGTGTTTTAAAAAGGGTCACTATATCAAAGATTGTCCACAGGTACGTTGACCTTGGTATGACGTTGATAAAACTACGTATATATTTTGTCTGAATGCCCCTGAATCGCTTGTTATTTTCAGAATCATCTGACTACCTTAAATAATTTTAGATTGTGAAATTCATCCCAGATCATTCTTTTGGTTGATAGATTTTATTGAAATTGAATTAAAAATTGGTTTTTACAAGAATAATAATCATGTTAGTTTTCTCGGAAATTATATGAATCGTTTATTTACGAAGAGAAAAAAAAAATATATTAAAATAATTTATAAGAAAACAAAAAAAAACAATTAGTACTATGAAGTTTTTAAAAAGTGATCTGATGAAGAACTTCAATTTTTACAATAAAAATAGCTTGACCACCCGCCTGTAAATGATCTGGCTTGTCGATTAGTTAGGAGAACTGTTCGCGTAGGAATGACGTAGGTCCTGAAGAACGTGCGCAAGTTTTAGCTAAGTAAAATGTATCACACATGTTGGGGTCTTGGGGTTTTGAGTGCCTCTGCTCATTGAGTTACTCGCTTTCGCTTATTCTATCTTTCACATCTACTTTGCATCAGGCGAATGATACGCGTGCTTTGGAATGTTTGCGTTTATCAACTGTCATCAACGTCCGACTACGACTGCTCAATTAAGCGTTAATTGAAACAACAAACATTGTCTGTATCTTTTATCACAAGTATAGAATGACGAATACTCTGAATATGATAAGTTTTAATAATTATTAAAATTCGTAAATATAATTTATTTATGTTAGTCAAAAATTAACTCTTTACAGAATTTATTCAAACATGCACATGTCGAAACTGGAATTACCCCGCTTGGACCCCGCGGGGTCGCTGCCCCACGCGTTTCGTTATTGTTTTACAGTCGAAATCCTCTAATTTTTAACCCCATCATTTTTATTCATAAAAAAAGTTGCCTCAAAACGTAAAAATTAGAGGAGTTCGATTGTAGTTAATTAACAATTGTTAATTCTGCTCTGATATACATGTCACGTCTACATATTTAGAAATGTCAAAGCGTAAACGTCCGGTTAGTCGAGTTTCCACTGTAATTAAAAATAATAATGTCTTTTGGAATTTTTGAGGTTATACATGTATAATTTATCAAACATCATAAATAATTTTAGGCTAGACCAAAAGGAGAAGGATTAACTCCTTATCAAGGAAAAAAGCGATGTTTTGGAGAGTACAAATGTTCAAAGTGTAAACGGAAGTGGATGTCCGGCAACAGTTGGGCCAACATGGGCCAAGAATGCATTAAGTGCCATATTAATGTTTATCCTCACAAACAGGTGAGTCTGGGGTCATCAACATCGACATCCCCGTCTCACGCGTTCAACTCCTTACTCCGTTACGTAAGTGACAATTCCAGCCGAGTTTATTTCATGCATGTTTTGCATCATTAATACCACTCATTATTAATTAAAACAAATAAATAAGAATCTTAATAAAAATTTACTTAAATAATTTTGTTGATTTTTTTTAGAGACCTTTAGAGAAACCTGATGGTCTTGATGTATCGGATCAAAGCAAAGTTCATCCACAACATCTTTGCGAAAAGTGTAAAACTCTTGGGTATTATTGTCGACGTGATCAGTAATTTTAAATAACTTTAACTAATTCAAAAAATAAAAACAAATTTTCAAATGTATCGTTTTATCATCATTATTCTTATAAATGTTATTAATCTTTGTTATTATGATTGAGAAAAAAATACTTGATGTTCACGGTTGAATATGTAAGATTTAGAAAAGGGTGAAAAATAGGGGGAGTTAAACTAAAAGTTTAGCTCGTTAGTCTACCAGCTTCTATTTAAAGAGTTGCTATGTTTAGAGAAACGCGGCAACTCTTGTGGTAGAATGTCTGCTATGTCTGTGCTATTTAAGTACATGAAAATTTCAACATTAAGCAAATATTTAATTAATAATCAACAAATAATTATTTCAATTGTATCATGTAATGTTCAAAGGATATTTTTGTACTTGTCATAATCGGCTTTTTAACTCTATGAAGGATTTGAACAGTTTATACATAGTTTTGGAATTATATTCAAAATGATAATTATCACTTGGTATAGCTGAAAAAGTATTTTAATAATTCTGTAAAGATAAAGAAAAAATATGCAATGAAAAATATCTACTTTGTAGACTGATTAAGGACAATAATGATGAAATACTGAAACTGGTATTGTTTGAAATGTATTTTATACTCTCCGCGGGAATATTTGATATGTATAAATTTTGGTTCAACCCGCTGGTAAATTCTGTATAAATTTTGCATATTTTTTAAATTCATTCTTTAATGTAAGGAACGTAAATAAAATTTAGAATGAATTGATTACCATAAAATACTTATCATGAACTAAGATAAGAATATATGATCTACTTGAACGTATTATATAATGTAATATTTATGTAATAATTACTTACAGAAAATATATGCCAAAGAATTATTCAATGATGTTTAACTAACATTTCTCATTTAGCTATTTATATTGTAGTTTAGCATTAACTGCTGTAAACTATTTTTCATAGCAAAGGCATTGGAAACAATTTAAAAAAATATTTATATAATTTTATAGAATTTTAATAATAATAATGTTATACACTGATAATGTATATCATACGCAAAATATACAAGCCAAAAATTCTACAATAATAACAATAAAAATGATAATGATATTATTTATTCTACATAATAAATTTATAATTACTTTTCTCACTCAGAATTTTCCCAGTGTGGTAACACAATTAGTATATTAAATGATCGAATGATCAATTGTTATTTATATTATACAATATATTTAATATCTAATATACACTTTTATATGAAATGTACAGTCGTCAAGGATTAGTGACGATGAATAATCGGTCTGTCGCAGGATCTTCAGTAAAATACGCGGCAGAATTAAAAATAGTTGTAGTAACAATCGATGAGGATTTATCTGTCGCCTAAATTTTATCAATCAAAATTATTATCTACGATTCATATTTAATAAATATAATTTAATTAATCTGAAAATATATTCACCTGTACTTGATGTTTACTCGGGCTAAATTGAGCTTCCAAAAAACTTTTCTGTGCCTCATTTCCATTGTTTACATCACTAGATCCAGTTTCAGGCCGTTTAACTATTTTTTCATCTTCTACATTATTAACTATGTTTTCTGGTCGATAAAAATCGAAAGATTGAGCTGAGGGCTGAACAGCAACCGGATTAGAAACACTTGGAGGAGGTTGACTTAATAAATTTATCATTTGCTGTTGTTCTTTGATATCACTAATGTGTGTGGAAATAACACGGTTTTCAGGTTGAATGACAACAGGCTTAGAGAATGTACATTGATCTTCATTCATTGATAAAATTGTAGGAGGCGATTGATTTCTGAGGTATTCAATTTTTTGTTCTTGTTCAACAACATTCATTGCCGGAAGAAGTATAGGAATGTTGGCAGAAGTATCTAAAGGCAATTGAGCAATATCTTCATGTACTTTCTTAACCATATCCGGCTGAATTTTAATAGACCCATCAAATGAAGGTTGCTCTTGTTCAGCTAAGGAAATAACTGGAGCAATTGGAGGTGTTTTGAGAGTCTCAGGAGCTGGTTCTGGAAACAATTCATTCTTCAAATTTGGTAAGAAATTGTTTATCGTCCTCCAAGTTGGTTCCCAGAGATTTGAGGTAGGCGTTAAAACTCCGGTTGATGACATTACCAATAGCATATTTTTTAAAGATTCAGGAATTGCTTCGAATAATAATTCACTATTATCTGCATGCATGTAAGCTCGTAGAAGATCAAGGACAGTTAACCAGAGAGGTAAAAATCCTGGTAGAGTTAATAATGGTGTCAGATGATGGAGAAACACTTTAGAAAGTAACATGGCTGCTCTCACTCGCGTTTCTTCAACGCCAACTGAATCGTGAACTGCAATTGGGCCCAAAAGTTGTGCTAGAAGAGGAAAAAGCACCTGTTCCAAACATTGAGACCACTCTACAGCTGATAATTGACTTAAATCATGAGCAAGAAGCGTACTTTGTAAATAAGTAATTGCTGTAGTACGAACTGCTCTGCGAGAATCACAACACAGGCGTGCAATACCTTGAAGAAGTGGTCTCCATGCATGTGGCCATAAACTGACAGATTCTGTGGTACCACCTTCTTCAGCCCACCATCGAAAAATCTGTGCAGTTCTTGAATGCAAAGTATGCATGAGTTTTAATAACTGAATAGGACACTGTTGATATCCAGGAGTTTCTAGAGCATTTGGACTCAGCTTTATTCTCTTTGTAGGCGTTTGAAGAACTGCTTCAGCAAAAGTTTTAATACACTGGATACAAAGTTCAAAATTAAATGGTGTGATATGAGCAACATCTCTCACTAAAAATGTTAAACTTTCACAACATTTAACTAAAGCCACCGGATCATGGGGTAATAGATCTTTATCTAATACAATTGTATCGGCAGCAACTGGAAGTGGTGCTTCAGTACCAGTTGGAGATACTAAAACCCATTCAGGAACTGGTGAAATTGGTCTTTGGTCTAAAACTGATGATCTTGGAGATGATTCCTCAAGAACTACATTGTTTTGCTGTTTTGGAATTAATGCACCTGCTCCAGCACATTCCAATAGATTAAAAACTACTTTCCAATCTTCAGAGCTGTGAATATTTGCTGCTCCAGTCTTTAAAAGTTCAACGAGACCAAAACCAATTTGACGTGCTAGAGGTGCTGTCGTTGCTGAAGGCAAATGAGTTAATGGTGTCAATGGAAGTAATACAGCTCCGGCAAATTCTTCACCTCGAAGTAAACGAATTGCAAGTCTCAACATACCGACAGCAACACGCTCTAAAAGATAAGGATGGTTTTCTCTTGCTGCTATAGTTAACAACACATCCATGTGAGCTAAAACCAATTGCCAAATACACATAACTCGATCTCTATTATGAATGGTTATCTCTAAGAGCAATTCTAAAAGAAAGACTGAAATTTCTTCATCGACAGGTTTTACAGAGACTAAAGCATTTACCAAACATCTTAATGAATCTTCTTGAAAGAACTTGCTCTCTTCCGTAATCTGTTTAAGACAACAGCTTACAATGCAATCTATTGCACGTTTTTTAGCCGTGGCTTCAGCAGGATGAGGAATTCTCGGTTCCAAGGCAATGTAAGAATATAGACTCAATAATATACCTTGATTTTGAACAGGCTGTTTGGGAGTTGTTGGTTCTTTTATTAATGAGACTTTTCCAGATGGATCCAAAAAATCTTCTCCATCAGTGACATCTTTTGGAAGTAATCTAGCCTTAAATAAAGTTTGCATACAATCAATGATATTCTTCCACGATCCTCTAATCCCATCCCCATGAAGATGAATAATCTTAAAAAGCGTTCGTGTTGCTAATTGACATCTACCACTTCCGCCAAAATGAAGTACTACTTGATCTGGTTCTCCACCAGTTGCTAAACCCGTAAATTTACACAAAGAGACGATCAAGGTATCTAAATCACTGTACATCCCATAATGAACACTTATTGCTGCACAGTTAAGAAAAGTATTAGCAATGCGTCGTTGAAGAGCTCGGTTAGGAGCTTTATCATAAGCTCTACATAGAGCACTAATGATTGGTGCCCAAGCTTTTTCTGCAAGTTCTTTGTCAATAAATTTACCGGCATCCCCTACTTTAACATAAATACTTTCTTGACTTGCTCCTCTTCTTAATAGAACTTTCCACAAATAATTTTCTTTTACTAAACCCGTTTGCTCTGCAGGCATGACAATCTCTTCATTCTTTATTGAATTATAAATTTCATCCAACATATCCTGATCAAAATCTGCTCCTCCGTTGCAAGCTTTTAGATTTTTCTTAAATTGTTCTGCAGTCATCGGATTATTTTGACGTTTTGCTTCTCTATTATGTTGATCAACATTCAACAAAATCACAGCATAAGCTAATGTAAATGCTGCATCGGCTGAAGCAAAAGGCCTTCCATTACTATCATGCCAATGTTCTGCAAATTTTTCCAACAAGTGAGAAATTAATGGAGCTTCACCAGGAAGTCTGAACGACTCTAAATAGAACCTTAAAGCTTGATCCACTCTCATATTATGTAATTCTAAACTCTTAACAAAACAATTTAGAATATTTGTATTTTCTTTTCGACTTATGTATTCAGCAATCGCTAATTTATCTAGCATAGGATTCTCTCGCAGCAATTTAGCTATTTTTTCTGGATCTTGTTCGCCGGGTTTTCCAATAAGACCATGTTCCGCTAATTTTGCAATACCTTGTCTTGGATGTTCATTAAATTTTTCAGCACCCATTGCCAGCCATCGTTTATTGGTTTTGGCAAGTTTTAATTCTTGAACTGTAGGCAAAACTGGTGATGCAGAATGTCTTGAAGGCTTACAGTAATTAGCGTAACCTTTACATCTGGCTTCAATTTCTGCAACTAATATAATTATGGCATCTAAAGAGATAAATTGAATGCTGTACATGCTTCCCATTAGAGCAGAAGCATTTTTTGACAGCAACTTCATCAGTTCTTCATATAAATTCGATGAATAAAGACCACAATCATAATTGATGTACAACTCTGCAGGTAATCCAGGAATTTTCCAAAGTCTTGTGATTGCTTCTAAAGCTAATTCTCGTTGTTCATAAGAAATTTTATTGGATTCTGAATCAATTATTTCTATTAATTTAAGAATGTAATGTTCTAATTGAAATTTGAGATGTTCTCGTTGTGATTCAAAAAGTAAAAAAGCAACTTGAAGATCTGCAGCAAGAATAGAAAGTCTTTCAGTACTTAATAAAATAATTAAATTTCTTGACAACTCATCTTTAACAAGAGATAAAAGTGATGGAAAGTTAGCTAAAACATCAGCAGCGATTTCCAAAACTACTTGTAGAAGGCTCAATCCTAGATGGATGATTACTTCAGTACTCTGTTTATCATATGGATTACAAAGAGACACAAGAAAACGGAATACTTCTCTAATACAAAGAGCACCATAAGGAGATAGCTGGGTAAGTGGAGTAAATCGAACTCCTTGCTGATTTACATATTCTTCTACTTGCTCAGGGTCTATTGTAATTTTTGGCGTTTTTTGATTGACGCCTGAGGTTTCGTCAACAGATAAATCTTCAACACTTCCTGTAGGAGATTGTATCTGATCAAGATTCTTTTCACCGTCATTTTTCTTTTCTTGAGTGATGGATACTTTAATTTCTACAGCTTCACCAGATTTCTCATCCATAACTTTTTCAACACTTTCAGACTTTCCTTCATCTTGTAAATTATTTTCTTTAGCTGTATTAGAATCTTCTGATTTTTTTTCTATATTTACATTATTAATATTGCTTTCCGGAAAATTTTGTGAATCATCTTTTTGTTGTTCACTTTTAGACTCTTCTCCTTCTTTGAGAGAGCTATGTATTGAATTTCCTTCAACTGTAGATTCATTTTCCTGTTCTGTAATTTTTTCTGATAACTTCTCTTCTTTTCCTGATTCACCTCCTTGATCATTTTTACTTTTCTCTTCGGATTTTTCAGATTCTTCAATTTTATCTGGTGTTCCTTGATCTAAAGATCCTTGCATATCTACAATATTCCCAGCTGGAGTGATAGGAGTTGTTGATAAATGATTACCTCGAACACGTTCTATTGGACTAAGAAGTTCTTTGGTCTCATTTTCATCCAGGTCATCATTATTCGGTTTGATTTTTTGCTTTGAATAATTTTTTAACTTTTTACTTTTAGGTCGGGAATTATTTTCAATACCATTTGCACGCATTTTCTTCATATTTGGTAGCACTCGGGTGTCATCAGCAAATTGCGGGAGCTTTACAAAGAGATGATGGACCATATCTCGAAGACAATGTTCAGCATTCCTTCTCAACAGTTCGCTGAGTCTAGTTTCAAAGCAGATTCGAAAACAACTGAGCATAATTTCACATATACTTTCATCAGAAAGATGGTCTCCAACATGAGATAACACTAATGCTCGTAGAACTTGGATAATTCTCATTAAAACTACACCATCACCAGAAGCGTCTGTCCCGACAAATCTTGCATGAGTTACTGCATCTGCTATAGCTTCGACACATGATCCGATTGTAGGATGTTCTGCATCTAAAAGTTGTTAATAAATGAATTAATTAATTCATTATTATATATTTATTGCAGTAGGAATTAAAAAATGTTGACAACTCTTTTAAAAATACTCTTGAAAATAGCAAGTAATAATTAATTTACCTATTAAACCATAAGAAATCATTTTATTCACAGCAACTAAAGCCAAACTTGTGACAGGACCTGTGGTTTCTTCTGAACGAATTATTTCTAAAAATGGAGCGAGAAATACACCAGGTTCCAGTTGTGAAAGACTCTGTGCATCACTCAGTGTTTCTTTCAATGTTGAAAGGCCTTTCATTAGGATGTCCTGGTCCTCATCCTAGCAATATAATCATGATAAAGCTATCTAGTATAATTCGAATAAATACAAATCATTAAAATAATTTACAACTAATTTTAAAAGAAATTTGTGTTTCGACCTAATTTCAATAATTAATAAAATATAATTCTCAAATACTAACAATAATGTAAAATAATAACGAAAAGAGAGCATAATAAATAATTAAATTATGTCTTCATTAATTATGTGTCATTCGGTACAGTCTTTAGGATAAATATTTGAGGGTTGTTGATGATAAACATTATAACCTAAATTTCCACAATATAAATAAATAATATTCAGAATTCAAAATACAGCAACAAAAATTAGATTTTATTTTCCAACATAATTTTAAAAAATAATGGTAAATATGGTTAATGAGTTGCTTGATAAATAAACCTGGTGTGAATGAGAAGACCATCGGACACCACGACGCATTGCTGTCATCAAGAGGCTGACCTCGCCCTCGATGACGAACAGGCCTCTTCTTGGACAGATGTTTTTTGCCATCTTGATGATTTTTTCTTACTTTATATTATTCATTTACATTATTCTTGAAAATTTAGAGGTTGCAATCAAACTGTTACACCACATTTAACGTTCACGTTAAACGTCACTCCCATACACGATGGCAATGGTCGTCGTTGAGTGAGTCGATAAAATAGTTCCCATTTTATTTGACTGTCAATCACAAATAATTATTCCTATCAATACCAGAGGCACTTGTTTTGACAACACAAAATGGCTGTTTTGCAAAAATTGTATGTCACCAGAGAAAACAAACGTGTTTAGAAATTCAATTACAGTAAATACTGTGTTTTGTTTAAAAATTATTCTAGATCGGCCCAACTGTGCCAAACTTCTATGTGCCTGGCTTACTTCAATTGTTAATTAAAAAACTGTGCTGTAAAATTATTTTCAAAATTACCAAACTATTTTCAATCATACTAATGAATATTTTTTCAAAATTTCATTGAATGAATTTGATTCCCAATTTAATTATAGAAACGTTCGAACCTCCTAAATACATAGGCCCATTTAAAAGAAATAAAACTTGTATATACTTAAGTCGTTGGTTTATGTATAACATAAAAAAATTAATCAGAAAGAATAAATATAACTGATATGATGAAAAGAACGACTTGCTAAAATACTAAAAAATATCCATGAACAGACTACAAGAATAAATATATATAATAGGATACATTTGAAAAAATATATTGGAATTCAGTGAAATAAACACTGAAGTTTTTTTAATTTTTTTAAATATTATTATTCGTGTTGATTTTTTTCAGAAACTTACACACTGTAATAAGGTTAAAATGAGACGTATCTATTAATTTGCATTTTACACTTTTATTTCTTTGATACATGATAATAATACTAATTTACCATACACCAAAGTAAAAATAAGAATATATTAACTTTACATTGAAAGTTTAAGTTATAATCATCATAGTGTTTTTCCTTTCCTTTGAATTAAAAAATTGAACCATCTGAAAAATTTTCAAAAATATTAAAAAAGATTAATTAGTAGAAAAAAAGTAATATCTATGTACAGATAAATAATATATACATATATATGTAACAAAATTATTATCTTACATTTTTACATCCATGTCTACCCCTTTTTTCCTTTGCATGCAGAAATATAATCGGCGTTTTCATCAAAATTACCTTCAAACATTGTATCCACGCTTCTTCTCTTCTTTCCAGACATAGATGAAGCTTGACCAGCCATTCCAGTTGCCATATCACCTCCTGGTATTGACTTAGCTTGGTCCATACCTACTCCTGGATCCATAGATGCACCTGATGCAGCCATGTTTGGCATATCTTTAGCAGGTTCAGGTATTGAAGACATTGGATCTTGGCCAGCCTTAAATGTTTATTTCAGTTGAATCATTGTATGTAAGTAAGAAATAATTATGAATCAAGTAAATGAGAACAAAAACAATAAAATGTATTATATTTACCACCAAGGTGACAGCACAAGCTGCAACTAACAAGGCAATAACGAATCCTTTCATGTTTATGAAATATACTTTTTTTAGTTTTACAATGCTTTATATAGCAATTCTATAACATAATTTATACTATCGGGTAATTTTTTGAATTTGTTAATTCTTATTGAATTGATAATATCTTATCTCGTCGTAGTATATTATCACGTAATAATTAATTAAATTATTTTCGTGATAAATTAGAAATTATGTGTTTGCATTTAATTCTCAGAAAAAAGCGATAAATCTTAGTAATAGTCATCATATCTGCAATTAAACTAAAAATACGTCAAACATTTTTCAGAAAATTGAATGTTAATTGAGTTATTTCATTTTCTTATGACGGATTCATATAAATATTTTTAATTTTAAATAATTAATCTGAATTATTATGTTAAGAAATTATTTTTAATGACTTCCTCAATTTTTCAAAATTGATTCAAAAAATTTTTTTATCTGATCTCAGAGATTCTTATTAATTATATGAATAGATTAGAAGTATACATTATGTTACGTCCTGACGAACTTCACTTAGATTTTAAATAACACATTATATAAAAATAATTTCAAGGAATTGGAATAATGAAAAGAGTTATTAAAAAATAATTTTTATCAAGCTCATATATTTCAAACAACATAATTATTTTCTAAAATACATTATATAATATTTTTTTACCGAATAATCAAAATCAGCTTTAGCTTCAATATAATATTCAATTTTTAACTATTTATAAAGTATATTAACAAATTAAGGAATTACAAATATGATTCATAATATCAATGCATCTTTTTATTTTTATCCCTTCATTTTTTTAGTATATTGCATCAAATTTTCAGCCATCCCTGTCATTGTGCCCATGAATCCTCCACCACCACCACCTCCTGATGGAGCACCACCACTTGGATATCCACTCCCCCCAGAATATCCTCCACCTCCTGATGGGGCAGAATAATAACCCGGAGCAGTTCCACCACCTCCTCCATATGTTCCATGACAAGGTAGACCAATCTAATAATTATAATTAAAAAATTTTATTACAATAATACATAAAAATAATTTATCAAAAAAAATTGATCTTCTCGATTTATATTTGTCAATTGATTGAAAATAATTTTTTTATTTACCGCAAAAGTAGTCACACAAATGACAACTAAGAGTGTCAATGTAATTCTTCTCATAGTTGTTGAATAATCAACAGTATCGAGTTAGAATAACTAATTTTTTCTTCATTCTGCTTTATATGTACGATTAAGTCCACGTGACAGTTTAAAAAATACTATTTGTATCTTATAATTTCGCTCTTGTCACGCAGGAAAAATTAAAAATAATTTTATGCCATTTTATATTATATTTGCCATATTCTTAAAGTATTTTATATACTTTTTCTTTATACAATTTATTCTTATCGTGAACAATGTTAATAAAATAATATGAATATTTATTTAGAAATACTAAATTTTATTGTTGTGAATTGTTCTCTTTATTATCGTTGATTTTAAAAATATTTTTTTTAATTATTACGTCCAATTGATCCCCTCCGTATTTGTTCATTTTCGTCTCCATTGTTTCTTCCATCTGTAAAAATAACCATTCAGTTCAATTTTATAAATTGATATGATCATTTCAAGTCTATACCATTTTCAGAATTATCATAACCAGAATGATCTCTTCTAGGAAGACCATTTCCATAATTTTTATTTCTATTATTATCATCATTGTCATCAAAACTAGGTCGTCCTCTTCTGAGAGAACCTCGGTTTGGTGGACCTCTTCCATAATTACCAAATCTGCCTTCATCATCATCGACATAATCATCTTCGTCAAAACTAGGTGGTCCTCTTCTTGGAGGACTTCGTCTATGAGGACCCAATCCAGGAGGACCTCTGCCTGGTGGACCCCGTCTTGGAGGACCTCTTCCTGATGGACCTCGTCTTGGAGGACCTCTTCCTGGAGGGCCCCGTTCAGGAGGACCATCATCATCATCTTCGTTCAAATCTCTTTCAGGGGGGTCACTTTCAGGAAGATCTATTTCATCATTGTCAGACTCATTTATTTTGCCAGCACGACTTTTGTTAAAATCTCGTGTTTGATTTACCGCGAATCTGTTTCCATTATCAGATTCTCTTTCCAATCCATCACTATATTCATCTTTCATATAACGAGATCCATCAGCCTGTTGAATAATTTTAAGTACAATGCTAGTCATTTATACATACTACTTTAACAGTACCCTAGTAGCCAAATCAACGTAGGACTGATGGTAAACTAACGTATGATAGCCTTAGATTGTTATTTACGTATGTATCTACCGTTTTTCTAAAGTAGACAGTCATAAGATTTTTGTCAAGAAATTGAATGTAACAGATGTACGTAATTCTGATAGAAATTCTTACGTCAGGACTAGCTACTAGGGTATCATACTAGGGTATACTAGGATAACAAGATGAATTATTTTTGAAAATAAAGTGGAATGAAATTTCATCAGTGTTACTTACCACGAAAAAGAATGCGCAAATTATGAGAGATAATATTAACGTTTTCGTTTTCATGTTAAAGAAAAAAATTTACTGGCTTTTCTATTATTTTATTCCACTCATTTATACACTGGCTTCTGAGCAATGTTTTTTTTTATAACAATTCTACCTGGCGAATATAATTAATGATAAGATTTTTTTAAACTGTGATTTTATGGAACTCGGAAAGTGGGTTACATAAGGTGTTACGACAGTAAAATTAATACTGCCATTTTACTTTAAAAAAAATTCAACACTATAACAAGTGAATACTTTCATTTTTAATTATTAACCATTTTTTCAGTAGATTATATGTAATACAATGAATTTCAATTTTATAAATAACTTGTAGTAGCATTTAAATTGTAAGTAAATTAAATGTTTTACTCAATTCAACATTCAATATTCGTTTTTTTTAATTTCCAGTTTATACTCTTCGTAATCGTCCATATTCAACATTCTCGACAGTACCACCTTCAAATGTAAGTTAAAAATATTTATAAGAGAATAGAATTAGAAAAAATAATTTTAATGAACAATACAATTAATTTGATTCAAGTTATTTCACCTCCACCGCTAGGCTGGCCATATCCTAAAATTTCAATTGATTAGTTACTTATAATCATTAATGGAATTAATTGAAATTAAATATTGATAGTTACCAGTTCCATAGCCTCCATTCCCTGAAAGAAATATATCATATAAACATTAATAGTAAAATGATTGTTGTAAACTTCTAATCTTTCTTTATTATTAAGATAAAAAAATAAGTACCATTTTGGTATACAGGACCACCACCTCCACCACCTATAAAAATAAGTTAATGTACACCTGAGTTTTTTCGAGATGATGTAATATAATAAAATATACAATATGATAAATTTAAATTGATATAAGTTATTATCGAATCCACAAACAGCTCCTTTGATATGATTGCCTTGCTAAATAAACATCTTTTTAAATTATTTAACGTTATGAGAAAACGATCAAGTTTGTATTTATCATTATCTTGATAAAAACGTTATATAAGAAATAATCTTTTTATTTATCTTGAAACTAGAAAAAATGTTTCAATGATAACATTATGCACTCAACGACAATTGAAGAATAATTATCTCTCAATATTATCATGGTGCTTAAAATTTTCTCAATAAACATCTTACTCACCTCCATATTCAACACCACCACCTAGAAATATAAATAAATCATTACATTAATAACATGAACTTAATAAAAAAAAAACACATATAAATTAAATTTACACAAAGCCCAAAAATGTTTTGAAAAAAATTTCAATTACCATTGCCTACTGGAATAAATCCTCTATTTACTCCTTCAAAAAATTTTAAATAAATTCATTATAATCTGTTGTTAATTTCAATATTCAGAAAAAAAACAACGCATGAATTAATTAATTTTACTACCATAGGTAGGAATCATTGGAGCTCCACCATACCACACACCAGGTTCTGGTCCAAATCTTCTAAACCCTAGAGCTCTATTGATCATCATTTCCAATAATGGTCCAAATGTCAAGCATGGAGTTCCATTCTAAGAATTTAACAATAATCTAAATATTTATCACAGGTAACTATTTTAAGATATTTACCACTAAAGCAGCTGTACAGATTATCAAAAACAGAGATACAGTTTTCATTTTCATGATTTTAAAAGAGATCAATTTCATGTGTTGATTGACTTATATACAAGTTTCAACTAAATAATTAACCATTTATTTATATTTAATCATCTATTAACAGCATTTAAGATCATTTCAAATAATTTAGTGCAATCTGATAATTACATTTCAGCCTTGAGTCATGCATTTTACAATAGTAATCAACGTACATGTTATGCATCTTGAAAATGATATATACTTCTATTAATTACAGAAAGAATAATAATATATAATGTAATTAATAAGCTAAATACCTCAACGACTATATTGAGAGCATTTTTGGACTTTGTAAAATATTAAATGATTTGTAACAACATTAGCAAAGTTTTGATACAGGGAATTGGGTGTTAATCATCATACATAATTATCTTACCTCCATATCCCCAATTTACAGGAGGCCCATAAACCAAATAAACGGGAGGTGCAACGCCATAGCCATAACCATATCCTCCTCCATACCCTCCCCCATATCCTCCTCCATATCCCCTATATCTGCCCCCATGGCATGGAACACCAGTCTACCGATAGGTAATTATTGATATTTGATCAAAATTCGTTAAATATTGTTCTAACAATAATGATAAAATAAAATATTTTTGATAATATTTACCACTATAGTGACTATACAAACTACAAATAATAGAACCAAAATTATTTGTTTCATCATAGAAAAGAGACTATTTTTTATATCATCACTTTTTGTTATATATACATATGATTTTAACTTAAATGCTATATTTTTCTTTTCAATATCTTTTGTCAATGTATATAATTAACAATAAAGAAACAACAAAGTAATTTTATCTAAGTCAGAGTTATTATTTTTATAATTACGTTTTACTCTAATTAGTAACTAAAATTCTACTTCAGAGATCTTGAATTATAGTTTCTTAGAATTTTTGCAGTAATTTTTTTGCATTAGTTATTCTGAGAAATCCATTTTTCAAAATACAGTTATTATAGGAGCCTATTTTTTGGAATTTTACGTTACAACGACTATTTTAAAATGTTACATTTGGGTCGAATGACAAATAGTACCTTTTTTGAATAATATTTATTATAAATTGTATAAACACATGTGCCGAAATTACAATTACTAACGAATTCTTGAATGAAACAAAGTATTTCGAATTGTTTACTGATCATAACCAGTAGTTGTCCCATTGGTAGAAGAATTTTTAATGAAATATGAATTTTTAGTGATTTTTCTATTTATAATCAATTTAAATGTTTTATTTTTTCAGCTTCTTGATATCGTTAACGTCCCATATGATGAGAAGGGGTTCCTGAAAATAGAAAATGTCAATTAACGAGCAAACAAATCTGCATAATTTCCGTAGAACTTTGTTGATTATTCAAATTAAACTCTATAAAAAATAAATCAAATTGGAAATTTATTTTAAGCAAAGCTACTGTTCATAATGTTTCTATTATACTAAATAGCATTTATAATTTCTTAAATTTACCTCCGCTCAAGTCACTTCCACTACCTAAAAAAAAGTAAGTATTAAGATGAATAAATTAATATAAACTTAATGCGAGATTGTGTTTGGTAATTGGTAGTCATTAATTCTTCTTACCTCCGATACCCATACCGCTTCCATTACCTGTAAAATATTCAAATTAATATTTTTTTTTAAATTTTATTTTTATAAAGTTTAGAGCACATAAAAATATTCATGGTGCCATTAAATTCAAGCAATCACTTCCAGTCATACTACAGTTGCTACCACTGCTGTTGGTATTGAATAGTTAATCATGTTTTACTTAGAATATTCTTATGCTTCAGTAGTGCTAATTTATAAAATTTTACCTCCACTCAGTCCGCTACCTCCACTACCTCCACTTAGGCCACTTCCACTACCTGAAAAAGTAAGTCATTTCATTTTTTTTGTTCACTAAAATATAATATTTTTCGTGCTTAAATATATTCTATGTTTAATGACCGCCACCGAGGCCACTTCCATCAAGACAATAAAGTTATTTTCTAATCTGAAGTAAAATATTACCTCCACTAAGACCACTACCAGTGCCACCTCCATGAAGCCCGTCACCGCTCATGCCAGTTCCTCCTCCACTAAGACCACTGCCGCTCATGCCAGAACCACCTCCGTGCCCTCCACTGAGACCACTACCGCTCATGCCAGTTCCTCCTCCACTAAGACCACTGCCGCTCATACCAGAACCACCTCCGTGCCCTCCACTGAGCCCGCTACCGCTCATACCAGAACCACCTCCGTGCCCTCCACTGAGACCACTACCCGCTCATGCCAGTTCCTCCTCCACTAAGACCACTGCCGCTCATACCAGAACCACCTCCGTGCCCTCCACTGAGCCCGCTACCGCTCATACCAGAACCACCTCCGTGCCCTCCACTGAGACCACTACCGCTCATACCAGAACCACCTCCGTGCCCTCCACTGAGACCACTACCGCTCATGCCAGTTCCTCCTCCACTAAGACCACTGCCGCTCATACCAGAACCACCTCCGTGCCCTCCACTGAGCCCGCTACCGCTCATACCAGAACCACCTCCGTGCCCTCCACTGAGACCACTCCCGCTCATGCCAGTTCCTCCTCCACTGAGACCACTGCCACTCATACCAGAACCACCTCCGTGCCCTCCACTGAGCCCGCTACCGCTCATACCAGAACCACCTCCGTGCCCTCCACTGAGACCACTACCGCTCATACCAGAACCACCTCCGTGCCCTCCACTGAGACCACTCCCGCTCATGCCAGTTCCTCCTCCACTGAGACCACTGCCACTCATACCAGAACCACCTCCGTGCCCTCCACTGAGACCACTGCCGCTCATACCACCTCCATGAAGCCCGTCACCGCTTATACCACTGCCACTTCCGTGTCCTCCACCCATGCCACTGCTACCTCCGTATCCTCCACTCATACTACGTGTACCACCTCCGTATCCTTCATGGTCATATGATCCTCCATTACCTCCTCCGTAGGTTCCACCACTACCACTACGTGTTTGACCCCCATATCCTTCATTGCCATATGATCCTCTATTACCTCCTCCGTAGTTTCCACCACCACCACCACTACGTGTTTGACCCCCATAATAACCGCTATTCATGCCACCTTAAAGTATATTCAATTTATTAACTATCTATCAATACACTGCAAATACAAGTGTGTTATTTCATTTTGGCCAAACATTTTAAATATGACGTTACTATATTTAATTAACTTTTTCACCTCTTTTCAATAAATTAAATGACTACAATTGGAATCAAATAGGGTGTAGTTATATCCATCAGAATGAATATAACACACAAGAATTTACAATACAATTAAGAATTTTCTCTTCTTTTATGATCATAATATCTTTAAGATAAGTAATTAGTTATTAGAGGTTTTAAAATACCTCCCGTTCCTGCGTAACCATAACTTGGTCCATATGCTGGTCCTCCTACGTAACCCATCGGAGGTCCGTACATTGATCCAAACATATATCCTGCCGGATAGGCTGGTGCAGCAACATAGCCTGGTCCACCCATGTAACCTCCTCCATAACCTCCTCCGTAACCTCCACCATAAACTGAACCTAATAATAAACCTGCAGATCCTAAGCCGTAAGATGATCCTCCTCCTCTGTATCCATAACCACCAGATCTATATCCTCCACCGTATCCGCCACCGTATCTACTACCACCACCACCATATCCACCTCCTCCACGTCCACCTCCATAATATGCACCATTCTACCAAATGATAACAATAAGAAACATCTTAATGACTTTTGATACACAATTACTTATCAATTTTTTGTAGGTCTTTTTTTAGATTAATCTTTTATTTTTTACTTTGACTTTTCAATTCCATTTAATTCATATTACTTTATGATATTTGATATTTACCACCAAAGTAACGATGAAAATTACGTGTAAGAACGTGATCGACTTCATACCGATAAAATTTTTATCAAACTATTTCATTTATTTCTTTTAATAGTGATATATATACATTTTCAGCTTCCGCACGCTTATTTCGTTTTCATTAGTTGTAGTCTATAATCGATGTGAGTAATTAATGATGATAATTCGAGCAGACAACTTTAATTTCATAGAATTTCCAATGATGCTATTTTTATAATAACATTTCAAACCGATTATAATCATTCGAATTACATATTTTTATAATATATATTCGTATCAGCACTGCAAATTTCAGTGAATTAAAAGAATGCACATTAAGTGTATTTAATGATACAATTCTATATACAAACTATTGCATTTTGTAGTCACTTTTTACACATTTTAGAGTGTAAAATTCTACAATTTGTGTATGGAAATTAAATATTGAACACACTTCATGTGAGTTATTTTAATATACTTTAAAAATCTTGGATTTGCAGTAAGTATAAATATGTTTAGACTCACCTCACTATACTCTATAACCAGCTTCTCCGATACTTTCTTCACCAATATCGAAGTTATTACTTTTTTTACGCCATATGTTATTTAATCTTCAAACTTTCAGTCAATTATTATTTTTACAATATTTTAACACTGAAATAATAAAATATTATATTTATAGTTTTGAACATGAAGTTCATCTTCTCAGTCCCAGTTTCACGTATGATTGTATCTCTTATTATTAATTGTATATAATTTATTTAATTGTAAACTACCTTCATATGTACGACATTTTTATAACACGCTAATAAAAATTAATCGTTCAACTAATATTTATTTCTTAACAATTATGATAGAAACTCCATCACGTAACTGGGGATTTTCAATTCTGTTTATAGCATAAACATTGCTTGGAGATAATTTTTCTATTTTTATAGATTTCAATGTTTAAAATAAAAAATCTACAAGCTCTTTATTTGTTCGTGAATAAAAAGACAATAATATATATAGAGTTATTGTTAATCGTTCATTTTTATTGTTGTAGTAATTTCATTTTAAATTTACATTGTAAGTTAATGGAACTAATTTTTTTATCACAAAATGTTAAATGTTGTCCAAAATTAATTATTTTATTTGAAACAGCTATTATCGTCAGAATCATTCTTCTGATCCAGAAGACTCTGAACTTCCATTTGGTTTGTTCTTATTTTTGCCCTTGCCATTTTGACGGTTGCGACGACCATGTCCTTTACCATTTCCTTGTTCACCTCCTTTTCCAGGTTGTTCATCATCAAGACCAGGTCTTCTGTCACGATTATGTTTTCCGCGTCCCACAGATTTATTACCATCAGATTCTTCAACTTGCTCTCCTTCAACTACATCATTGTTCTTTTTTCCTTCACAAGGTTCTGTAGTCTAGGAATGAAAAGTTAAAAAAAAATGAAATCTTCAAAAACGAATTAATTATGGAGAATTTTATTGTAATAATTATTTAATTTAATAAATAAATAAATTCATGCGAATAAGATTTTTATACTCTCGTAAATAATTGAAAAAATATTTTACCAATAAAACGACTACACAGACTGCCATCAAAAGAAACAAAGTAATTTTCCTCATGGTTACAATTTGAAAATTGCATAATATCTGGGTTTTTCTTTTCGTTTATATACTTTTGATATTTAATTATTTCTCAATAATAATAATGCAATATAATAATGGTAATTAATTATAAATTGCTCAAAAACGTTGTGTAAGTACAGAACAATTAATTATTTTATTTTTATAAAAACTATTTCATTATCGCCTACATGATACATTAATTCTTATATAAACAATAATTATGCGAAAGTTTTATGTTCTTTGATTTTCGGGTTACTATATTAGCGATAATTTAAAAGATATGAAAAAGTTAATATTTTACTATTACTGTTTATTTGATTCTCTGTTCACTGTGTTATTACAGTTGATAAAACACGGTATAATATAGAATAATATATTATATTATATATATATTTATACATATATATATATATATATATAATTTTTTTCGATATTTTTTTTTGACAGTCGATGAATAAAACTACTAAAAATAGATTTTCCAAATCTACAATTCAAAGCTATTACAAAGTGCGGGACATTTCAACTATTTCGAAGATGTTTTATTGAAAATTTTCATCTGACAATATTGATAATTTTTATAACACATTATATAATGAATGCTTCATAGGATGTATTTATATAGTTTTAAGAATTTTATTGACATTTTTCTCATCTAATTTCTTCGAAAGTATCCCTAAGAATACAAGCGCGCATATAAAATAAAAAAAGCTATTTTTTATCATCTATTCTATCACATACTGTGATGTATAAATTTTTTAAATCGATGATCGTAATTATTTTCAATTGAAATAATTACATTCTCATATAAATAAAGAGACGCAAAACGAAGGAGTCCTCCTAAATTCTTAATCAATAATAAAAATTGTATGTAGTTGGTTATAGGAAAAAAAAATTAGTTGAATAAAAAAATTGATCCCATCGATTTACGTCTCTCATAAAAAAAAATCACATTAGATTTGTTTCATTTTTTAATAAAACATATCCAACAGATTTGAATAAATTGTCTCTAATTTAACATGAACTTGGAAATGAATAATTAGACTAGATATTATTGCCAACAATTTTACTTACTTCATTAATTAATTAATAAATAGATAAGTTAATTATTAATTAATTCAATGATGATATTTTAAAGTGTATACGGAGTAATACAATATAATAAATATTATATAATTTATTTATTATCCATATTTTCTTAAAAGAATCATTTTATACCACTTGATGTTACAGTTTTACTTCCAAATAACTTTGTCTTACTTATATCTGGGTTTCCTTAAGTAACCTCGCGGTGACGTTGAGAGATCGAATGATCGATTAATGCCGTGAAGGTCGTTCTTTAACTTCAAATAACAAGGACAAATACATTATATTAATGTTAAATGTATTTGTCAATTATTCCATTTATGTATTTAAACGATAAAATAAATTTTCCACTGAGAATGACAATATTTTTAAAAATTTATTCAAATAATCAATCGAAATTTCATTCCGAAATGTTCAAAGACAAGCTTAACAATTTATGCCTCTTAGACTTTATTTTTTCACAACCATTTTCTTAATACAATTTAATTTAAAAAGCGTAAGATTAGCGATGATACTTGAATTGACTCTACGTTAAAATTTAATTAAAATTTTTTTTTCATTTTTTGTATAATCTTTTTGTCAACAGTTGATAAATATTTAATAACAATTATAATTGACATTCTAGGGTTGCAGCCCACCGACTAAAGCCAATATAATTTAATTAATTAACTAATTAATGGTAATATTTGTTTGATATGTGCGTTAAGATCATTTATTTTTATTCCATTTATCGTCCTTAAACAATCCACTAATTTTTATATTATTGTTATTCTCAGTAGAATCGATAAAAGTGTGCAAATTATTGCAACCAATAAACGTAAAAATAATTAATATAAACTGACTAATTTTGAATAAATTGAAATAAAAATAAATAACTTAGTAATCGATATTTGGAAACCCTCTTTTGTCTTCTTTATTTTTGCTAAATAAATATTTCTTAAACTGCAATTATTTTGATATTCTGACATTTCTATAACCATTGGATGATTACAAAATTTTGATTTGTATCTCTGGATCGGAGACGAAAGACTAAGTCTTTGAAAAATACATAAAAAAATGATTCTCAACAAAAAAGACACTACTTATTAATAATTCAATCGTTTGTTTGCAATTAATTGATTTTTTAGGCTAAACATTCTTCCATCAATTGACATAGTTTCCATCGTCTCAATCATTAGTTTATTTTTTAAATATTCACTTGTCATCATTTTCTACAGTAGAATCCTAGTCGATCTAAATGTAAAGAGTATTTTCTAGAATTGTCAACCTCATTTATCGATAAGATTTATCTCAAATTCAAGATTCCCTAGAGGAGTTAATATTAATTATTATTATTAATTACTAGTAATTATCATTATGTAATTGTTTTTTGGCCACTTCTAGACTTTATCGCCTATTTTTTATTGAAATAGTTAGACAAAAACGATTCTTCAAGCTCTTTTTGACTTTATTTTTATTTTCCCGCCTCTTTTTCTAAGTGCTATTGCGTCTCTATTCGTTTCAACTTTACTACAGAATCGGTCTTGCTTATCTATTTATTGTTATTATATTGATTACTGTTTTAAGCCGCTTTTAACTTGAGTATTCATTCAAATCCATTTATTATTGTTCGGATTTTATTTTGAATTAATTGGCAGGAAAGAATGAAATTTATTTATCATCCCTTAAAAGTGCTTCTTCAGCTTCCTTTCGGCGAGCTTTAGCTTCTTTTTTTGCACGTTTTTTTTCTTCTTTTGCTAATTTTTTAGCTTCTTTTTGTCGTGCTTTTTCAGCTTTTTCTTCTTCTTTTTGTCGAGCCTTTTCAGCTTTTTCACGTTCTTTTTCCTTTTCTTTTTCTTTCTTTGTCTTTTGTACCTCTTGGGCTACTGTCATTGGCGTCCTTGGAACACTCATTGGTCTTTTATTATTTGAAGAAGATGAAAAAGACCTTGATGAAGTGGACTTTGCTAAGGGTTTTGAAGAATTTTCAGAACTGCATGATGATACTCGGTGATTTGGTGATATTTCCAGTTGTGTGACTATCTTCTGTGCGCATCTAAAAATAATTTTATTCGATAATTAACTTATTGATTATTAATACAATTGGTTTGTTCGATTAGAAAGAAAATAATGTTAGTTTTTTTATCATCGATTTCTTTACCTCAGCCTCGTGGAAGCTTTTCCAGCCCGATAATCGCTCTGGAACTCTTTAATTGGCGGCAGTCGTCTTTCTCTATTCGCTCTAATAACATCCTCATTTTCAGCAACTTGTGGAATGGGATCTTGATATTTTTGTATCCGCATTTTCATTGATTGTGTCTGAGTACGTCTTAAAGTAGCTCCAGTTGGTTGCCTTACTCTAGTAGACTTAATAGGTGCACTGTTAGTACTACTTGCTGATGATGAGGTTGCCGAAGACACGGAAGACACACCAGATATGGAAGATGATCCACTGGCCATTGAATAAAGTGATGCTGACGCTGGAACATTACCCGTTCCCCATCTTCCACCTGGTCCATTACTTGTTCCTACTCCGGCACCCATATTGTACTCTGATGCACTTTGAGGCAGGACCCAAGGCTTCAAATGAACGAGGTAATATTAAATATTAAATTCATGCTCTTAGCGAAATTTATTCAAGTGTCTAAGTATCGAATATTTAGCTTGTATGAATAATTTTATTTTTAGAATATTAAATTTTATATTAAGTAGAAAATATGAAAAAAAATTTAATTGATCAATTTCAACTTACATCTCTAGGATTGAGAGTTTGCTTAAGTCGCAAAATTTTTGCACGACAAATAACACATCTGAGGGGCAACAGTCTTTGAGAAACAGCCATCTGTATAGTCTTAACGAAGCAGCGTCTGTTTTCAATCAAACAGTTACAAATAATATACATCAATTAATGGTGTTAGTTGAATAGAAAAGTATGAAATATTTATTCTTCTGCTCACCTGCAAACCACTCGATGTTCACATGGTGCTGTTTGCATCGTCGCTCTCGCATTTACGCAAATAACACACTGCAAATATTACAAAAAAGATAAGTTCATACATGACCACAACCAATCAATGTTATTATCGACTAATTGTTTAAATTAATTCTTTTTTGAAAATAGACAGTTCACATAGAATCTTCCTGATATCGCGTTATCATCCTTACGACTAAACTAGCATTAGTTGCTACGTCAATAATGGTCCAATCGTAAGACTAGATTAGAATGATAACTAAATACCATATCAGGAACAGGCGAGAAAGATTAAAGAATGAATTAGGTAAAAATAAATAAATAGTATAACAAAGTTTTTTCACTGATCAGTTTATTTTGCACAACTAAATTTCAACTACATTACTCAATGTCTCAAAAACTTCTTAATTATATAATACATTTCAATCCTGAGTCTAGTTAATAATAAAATTAGTAGTCTGCGTTTTCGTAATTGAAGAGGTCTTCAATGTCTGGAAAATTTATGAATAATAATGATAAGTAGTTCATAGAATAAAAAAATAAAAATGAAAAAAAATACGTACTAACTTCCCTCCTCTTCCTGCCCAAACCTGGCATACCACCACCCAATTTGGACATACCACTCATCATGTTAGTTGCTGCGTCAGTCATGGACTTAACACCGCTCATTGCGGCTTCGGCCATTTTTTGTACAGTGTTAACTCCGGTTTCCATCATTTTTTGTCCTTCTGCCATGCCAGGAAGTGGAAGTTGAGCAGACTAAAAATATTTTTTTAATATAGAAAATTTTATCAGCAACATGTAATGGCATGTGTCATGTTTTTGACAATTTTTTTTCTTTTTTCTCATAATAAAAGTTGAAATTGATCAACCTTATTTTTTGATAAGAATTGATTTTCAGAGTGATAAAATTTTTAGATGGCAATAATGATAACTGTAAAAAAAGACTTACCACAAAAGCGACTGCAACAACTGCGAAGAGGAATGCAAGAGTAAAAGTTCTCATGATTGCTATACAAATCGTACTGATTCTGCCACTTCATTTTTTTCACGCTTTATATACTTATTTTGTTATAACGGTTTAACCGATTACTTTGGAAAATCTATAATTTTCCTGTCACGAATATGAAAAAAATAACACTTAATAATTAACGTTAATTGCACTGTATAAAATCAGCACAATATGTAACATATTTTCACACCTAATTGTTCAGAATTGTGCAATTACAAAAATATAGAAATATTTATAATTAAATAAAATCCTTGAAATTCAAGCTTGCATCTGTTAATTATAAGCTGCAAGTAATTATTAGTAATTCATCCGTATTGTTTTTTGCGGAAATGTCATTATTGGATCATATAAGAGTAATCAAAAGAGGAAACGTCGGAAAACTGGCTTGGTAAATTATTTTCTATAAATATAGATTAAATTGGACTATTTTTTTATGTAATTATTATGAAAAAATGAGATTTCTGGTATCACTGTGATTCATTTAATCAATTGAATACATTTAATTGTTGGAATTCACGTTATAACAGAACATCGTATTTTTAATTGAATTAATAATGTAAAAATAAAAGTAATTTTTTTAAATACTTACTTCATCTTCTTGTGAAGAAGCTAATTCAGGTTCATTTTCTTCGAGTTTAGTTAAAAGTTTATCCTGAAATAAGAAAGAAAGTTTTTGAAAATCCATTAAAAAATTTAAATTAAAATTATATAAAAAGTTATTGATTATCAAATGATGATTATAAATAATTCAGTGAATTGCGGAGACATTTAATTGTAGCAGGATTAATTGTGGTATATAAATAGATTGTTTCCTGGTCCCTCGCAACAAGTAATCGATATTGATAATGTCTGTTTCATTCGGCATCAATGACACTCACCCATGAAACAGAGAGTGGTCATGCAATTGTTCATAGGAAATTATCACACCCCCTCACATTTTCATATTCATGTCATTAAAGTTTTTACACCCTCGTCATTTTCTCCTCCATATGTTCTAACATCTGTGTTCAACATTCACAAACTTTGTTTCTATCTTTAAAAACCAAAAAGGTCCAATTCACTATTTTCTATTAATATCTCATTCAACATTTCATAGTAGAGTCCTTCATTGTTCAAAAAGACTCAACTACAATATGTTAAAAAAAATTTCAACACCCCTAGTAGAAAGCGAGACTTGTCTGACACTGGGGTAGTTGGCCTGATTTAATGATAGACCAAGAAGGGACCAGTTTTATTTTATACTGAGAATATGACAATAAATTCAACTATTTCCAACACTTTAATTTTGTCGAGTGTTTATCTTAATTTTTTAACTCCATAAAATAACCATTTCTTATCAGCTTCCTTCATCTCTTTTTTTTGAATTTTAAATTAGTTTAATGATTAAAGTTTATAATTTTAGCCAACAACTGTCTAATAAATTTACATCAAGTGCCTTTGTTTAAACTTTGCAAATATTTTCCCATAGGAGTCATTATCGATAATTTTGGAATTCTCCTTAAACTTGGAGTGGGTTATTTTAGATAATAATTTATAGAAGTCAACATCCACTAATTAAATAGGCAATCGTTCTATTTCTTCAGCAATAAAACTGTCCAATATATCTTCTGTATATATATTTTTTTAAATAAAGGCTAAACACAAGAGCCATTTTATCAATTCCAACAATTACGACAAAGCTATTTTTAGAAAATCTGTTGACAAAAGTGTATGTAACACTGCTGGAGTCTGTGATTCGTCAGTTAGTTAAAGCTCTGAGGACAAAGGGTCGTTTTGCAAAGGTTTCGATATCGAGGTCGAATGAACTCAGTGTAAGTGCAGTGGAACGTAATGCATGTCAAATCAAAGCCAAAAACAAGCTGGTTTTGTGTACAAATGCAAGATAGGGTTATTGTTATGGTCTTTTCATAAATATCAATAGTTTGATTGTTAAATATACATTATGCATATAGCACTCAAAATTTTTAATCTCTAGAATCTTTTAGTTTGTTTCATGTTTTTAACTGGAAAAAATGACCCAGATAAACTTTGGCCAATTCCCAAATCATATACAAAAAATTATCAGATATCAATTTAAAACACGAATTACTTTTTGAAGATACATAAAAAGTCAGTTTTTTATGATTCAGAATGATATAAAAGGACTTTAAGTCTTTTCATAAAACTACTGTATTCCAAGTCTTTTTTTTTTCAAGACAAGGGCTATGTTGTCTAGTTGTTCATCTATGGATGATGTAAATACTCTGACAGATGTTATGACACGAAGAATAGGTGGATTTGTATGTGGACTGCAGTACAACGTGAGAGGGTGGGAAATAGAAACATGGAGATGGCGAAAGCGTATCTGGGTCAGGGGTGGTTTCAGATATTAGGTGGATGATGCGCAAAATATCCCCACTACCACTGATGCTGTGATGCTGCTTCCAACTGAGATGAATTTCTCTTCTCTTTTACCTCTTCCCCTCTGTTTTACGAGCTCCTCTCTATTTTACTGTTAGACCAGAACTCTTTCAATCACAATTTTTCTGGTGTCTTCTTCGTCATTCATTCCTGCGGGTTTTAATCATTCAAGTGCCCTAGATCGTTGCTTTCTCATTTATTCTCATTCATCCTTTTATTTTTTGTATTATTTTTATACTTTGCGGCTTTCTCGATCATTTTATATGAAAATTTTGATAGAAAACAATGAACTTCTTTGATATGGCTAATCTTTAAGGTCTGTGACAAATTAATATTTTTCTATCTTTGAAGAAAACATTTCTCCCTTGAGTTACATAAGAAACTTGATGTTTTTTTTATTGCCTCAATAGCTTGAATTATTAATCTCTTAGTATTGTCGGAGGTAATCATCTTGTTGTCTGTCAGGAGAATTACTATTTATGTTTGATAAAAATAACTGCTGTATTTCATAGAAGTCTTATTAGGAATTTCAGACAATCTATATTTTTTACAAATATGGCAATTCAATGGCTGAAGAATAATCGATTTCGAAAGTACATTTTAGCAACTGGTTCGTGATGGAGAACCCAAGAGACTCGATTGCTTTTTGTCTTAAAATAATAGAATGAATAAAAATATGTTTCATGCTTCATATTCGATAACAATAGAGATATTAGAGTTTATTTTCGTATCTATTTTATTTGGATAACATTAGCTTGTTGTATAGTATTTCATCTATATTATTGATTTAAAAGTTAAAAAAAAATTCTATATTGAATTTATAATATTATTTTCAAGTGTAACACTCAGAGTTTTGTTTTAAAATATTTATAATTTGATTACTCCACTCAACGCTGTTCAAGTGATTGAAACTTTCCTGAATAAATTCACTTTTAAATCAATAACAATAATTTTAAAAATACAAGAAATCCTAGACATCGTAGAGGGATATTTATCTCAAAATTGATAAAGTCATGTGACTAAAATGATTAAAAAAATCAGAATAAACACTGATCAGAATAAAAAAAAACAAATCAGTAATTTTTAACATTGATTCAACCATTCATTGTTTCAGTTATTATTAAATTATGAGAGTTAACCAAATCTAATCCAGGCTTCATCATCTAAAATAAATGTGAAATCTCTACACTTATATAAAATCCAATGATTTGATTCAAAATAAAAATTACTGCTCTGGGACGTTACATCAAGTAATTAATTTTTTATAGTTTAGAGTTTTGTTTCGAAAAAAAAGTTTGCCAAGTGTTAAAAGCATCACAATGGACTATTAATTACTTAATGATGTAGTTCTTAAACGTTTTTTTCGGGGAAAAAAACTATGTCAACAAAGATTGCTAAATCTAGAAAATCGACAAAAAATAGTAGAATACTTTGGATGAGAGATCAGCGAAACTCACTCAGCTCTATTGTCAACTTTCAGTCGACTATGAAACACCGATCAGTTCGCAATCAGGAAATTCTGTGATATTTTTTAAGTTTATGAGAGTCTAACATGTTATCTGCTTATTTTACATCAGTATTTTGCCGACTTTTAGTGATATCACGAGGTAATTTATCCATTTAACCTTATATATAATGAAGACAAATTCCATTTTTATTGATATTTATATAGAAAAACTTTCAGAAAGGATTCCGAGTGCAAATTTAATGGAAATTGAGAGAAACCAAAGTTCCTTAGTAGTTAGAAAATATTCACGGATTTATAGTGCAACAAACCATGAAATAGTAGTTTTTGTTGTACACCTTTTTTTATTTATCAACTTCTGCTCAAGTGTCGAGACCTTTTCAAATTTTATATCACAAACAAGCGATCTTATGAGTTCAAACATTTTCTCGTTTATTCACGCTTTCGCTTTACAATAAAAATCTTATTTATCGTATGAAAAAACAATCTCCTGCTTTTCCAATAAACACGCATTTAATTATTGAACTTGTATTTTTTTTCAATTTTACTTTACCTATTTTTATTTTAAATCAAATATGCTATAAAAAATTTTTATCCCACCAGACTACACAATGATTAATGGTGGTTATACGATATTGTATCATAGGTGAAACCAGTATCAATATTTCTCCATTTCCAAGTGGAAGTTGTCTTTTTTGTTGTTCTATTGACCTGGACCGTGATGTTCAATATCATCTCCATACAAGGTAAAAATCAATAAAGCTTTTTACTTAAAAAGATGAGTAAAAATTTTAACCAGAAAATGGACTGTTTATTTAAGAGAAAATCCAATTAAAAGTGAAATCCTAAAGTTTCCAAGTCAATCAAGTCTTCAAAGTAGTAGTTTTGATCCAAAAAATCCAACAATTTTTTACATTCATGGATACGCTGAACAAGCAAGTGGAGACAGTGCCAGAACAATTTTAGATGGTAAGTAAATCTTTTTCTTTTGACTATGAAATATGGAAATTGCTTTTTCGTCTTGATGCCATGATGGAAATACTCTTTAAATTTTGAACTACGCTGTTTCTCACAGTCTAATTCCTCCCAATAGAAAGTTAGTAAAAATGTCATGTTTCATGTTTTTTCAAGCACGAATATTATCATAAAGAAGTTGTGACACTCTTTTTATACATAATTTGTCCAAGTACATCATCCAAGTTAAAATCTCAAAAAGTCGTATACATCAAAAAAATGGTAAACTTTCCTACTAACGAAAATGAGTAAAAAAAACTCCTGCATTCAATTCTTCATGTTTTTTTTCTTATCGAATAAAAACGTGAAAGATAAATGAGTTTTTGGTAAAAAAATGACTGTTTTCCTGTAAAAAAAATCGGATTAGAATTTCATAAATAGCCTATCATTCATTAATCCCTAATAATCCTGAATCAAGACGAAATAAGTAACAGAGATGATTGATTGACTCGAATAAATACTTCCTCATTCGTTACAGCGTATCTTAATCGTGGAAATTACAACGTCATTCTAGTGGATTGGGGGAAATTATCAGCGATGCCTTGGTACATTACTGCAGTGAAAAATACAAAGATAGTCGGACCACATGTGGGAAGGATGATAAAATGGTTGGCGTTGGAAAATGCTATATCTCTATCAAGACTTCATGTGATTGGATTTAGTTTGGGTGCTGAGGTTGCAGGTTTTATGGGAAAATCTTTAGCACCACAAAAGGTTTTACGCTAAATGATGGAATATGATCTAATGATCACAATTTATTGATCATTTTCTCTAGAAAACGTTCACAAGGGATGAATAGGTTGGCAGGATAACTGGGTTGGACGCGGCTTATCCACTCTACATGAATACGGGTATGGATGGACATTTGACAGCATCAGATGCAACCTTTGTTGATGTAATCCATACTGACGGTGGAATATTTGGATTTCCATCGCCTATAGGCCATGTAGATTTTTATCCTAATGGTGGAAGACCACTTCAGCCTGGATGTAAAGCTGATAATCTTTTCTCACGAGGAATGTTCCGCCTCTTTCGACATTATAGTGAGTATGAATTGAATGAAAAATGTTAATGAATAAGATGAAGAGATTTTATTCGAATAAATTGTGCAGTTGTGTGCAGTCACAATCGTGCCTGGCGATTCTATGCTGAGTCCGTTTCGAATCCACAGGGATTTCCAGCAACGAAATGTAGGAAATGGCGACCAAATCTACGTAGTTGCACTTGGAGACCAGATGCACTTATGGGATTTGCAACTAATCCTAAAAATCGAGGCATTTTTTATCTTCGAACCAATTCTAAATCACCTTTTGCAAGGAATTTTACTGATTTTTTAATTTAGGCTAATGGTTTTATCATGAGTAATTACTTTTTTCTTTAATCTTGATTTTTGCCATTAGATATTTTTTTAGTCTGATAGTCTGATTTTAGTCAAAAGTTCAAAAAAGTTAGTCTCTTTGTTTTTTTTATTAAACTTATCTCTTCATTTTTATTCTGAACTAACTAATAATCATTATTGTAAATCACTGTTGGGATATTCTTTCATAAATGAGAGAAGAATAATCATTGAATATTTATACTGTTGTTGGTAAAATATTACCTAAAGAAATAGGAAGACTAACTTTTTTGGAGTATTTCCAATAAAATGGATGATTTTATTTTTCTACTGATTTTTATTCATATAATTTTCACTATTTTACTTAAGCATTCAGAAACTCAGAGCATTCAAGGTTTTCAATTAAATTATTCTAAACGAAATCCATTGGAGCAAATATAAGTACATATTCATTATCATTTTTAAGTTCATTGATTTTTTTTATTTTTAGGTCAGATGAATTTTTACGAGCCAATTAAAATTTCTTTTTTAATAAACTTTTGACACGCACTGGAAATGTCAAAAGTCTTATGTATATAATATGTTTAAACATAAGTAAATTGACATTTAATTATAAATTAGATTTTTATCGTTTTCGATTCGTAACCAATTACCGTTTCATAATCATTAATTGGAATAATTATTAAATGACAATTGATTTTCAAGAAAATAATTGAATTGATGATATGAAAATGTGATGACGGGCTTACGATAATTGGAAGTAAAATTGAGATTCTCTTATCCTACTCCAATCGAGATCATTTGACATTTCGTAGTAAACTCTAACTCAAGTTCTGACATGGTACTTCATTTCCGAACACGTTGAAACTTTAATAAATAGTTATCTAATATCTTTATCATTTCTTTTCACATTGTCAGAATGCTTTCACTATTTTCAAAAAATTTTTGCGTCTTCTTTCACTATCTAAATTAAAAAAGTTTCAGATCAAAATCGATTTTACTTTGAAAAGAAAATATTTGGAGTAAATTTTTTAAGCTGCTGACATTTTATAAAACTTTTCATATTTTGAAGTAACATTTTTTTACATGAAAAAATGTCAATACAAGATCAAATTTTTTACAAATGTTATTTTGAATTTTAAATATTGAAAAGATAATAAAAATGTTTTATTCCAAGGTCTTTCTCCATATTTTTTAGAATATGAAAAATTCATTTGTGAATTGATTGAAACAAAGTTCTGGAAAAAAAGATATCATGATGACTGAATTAAATAATTTCCTTTGAAATAAACTGTTGTTTTATCTACTTCCCTATAATTTATTCTTTTCTAAATAAAATCAACACCATTTGCACGATTCAGTTCTTTTCACAATCAGTTCAATAACCGCATGAGACCTCTTCATCGCGTGAAATATTCAGGTGGACACGTCGATAACAATCGTTGGTCTATAGCTTCAGGAAAGCACGTACTTATATCCGATCTGTTCTTACTCTATACCTAACTATTAATGTCATAACTCCATCACCAGAGTCTTATTGCTATGTTCCCTTCAGTGCTTTACTTCACTGCTTGAGATATTTGCAAACTTTGAAACGGAAACCGTAACTTTATACATGAAAACTGACAAGAAAAATCGACCCTTAAACTTATCTATATAAAATAAGTTGAAAAATTCTTTTTTTATATCCATGCATACATTTTTTCAGATAATTACTTGTCTCAACTCTCCAACAGTTCTGTGAATAAAAATCGATCTACCACATAATTTAACTTTAAACCAACACAAACTTTTTATACACTTTTTTGTTCTCGAGTGTAAAAATTTACGTTGACTTTAAAATAGATTTTCATTTCTTTTTTTTTAAAAAACTATTTTACAACCAGTCCATATCTTGATTTTTGCATTTTTTTCAGTACTATAAATAACGAACAATTCACAGAAAGTTTCCCTTAATAATTTTATTCTCATTTATAAATAGCTAATAATTTTCAGGATATTTATATGATAACAATGACTGTTAATGTATAAATAAAAAATTATGACGCTTGCAATATACTATATTTTTACCTTCCATCTATCGACCAGTGAGTCATGGGCATTAGTAGTACTCTAGTATATGTGATGGCTTTTCAAGCGTAAATTATATTGACAAATTATTTTTTTTAACTTATTAAGATTGCATTATTCTTATTAGTCTCATTATTATTTATTTTTTGCTAAGTGAAATAAAAAAAATAAATAGAATAAATCAATATCTTGAGCATGACGTCACATTATTATTTCTCAGTAAAAAGGGATGATACCCTAAGGCTTTTTTCTCTCATTAACATGAATTAGAATCATATGCTCATTATTTTTATTTTTATCTGCAGAAAATTATATTTGAAACAATACTATAATAACTTCCCCTTCATTTATTTTTATGTAAAAAAAAAAGGAAAGAACATGGTTCAATATTGTGAGTAATAATTTTATTCAATTTGAAGATTCAAATATAATCGTAGTAATAATAAATAAATCTATTTTTCATGTTAGAAGCTTCAATTTTATTCCATTTAATGGAATTGGTGTATAATATAACAGTAATGTAAAATAGATGAATTATTGATACGAAGCAATGATTTTGTAGTTTAGTTGGAATTATTTAGAGTTAAGGAAGCGAACATTTAAGTATTATGGTAGGTACTTAACGAAAAGCTAGTGATTCGTGTAATTTAGTATTTAATCAACTGTGTAGCGTGATATAATAAGAATATAAAAAAAAAAGGATAAAAAAAATGTAAAGGGAAGTTTTTGAGACCTTGCATTATGAATAAGGCCTCAACCTTGGCAGTCTTGTTGACGAGTAACTTCTTTCTGGTTATACTAGCGAGTAAAAAAGTATACATCATAAAAAAAATAAAGAGAAAGGTTAGCTACACGACACAATTGGATGTGATAAGCATAAGACTCACGCTACTCTCGCGTTAAGATTAAATCTATGATCAACCACCACACACGGAAACTTCCCTCACTCATTCAATATTTTAATAAACATTTTTTTCAAGTATTGAAATGATTAAAACTATCTTAGTTAAACTATTCCTGTTTTTTCAGAGTATTTAACTAATCAAAAAATTAATTATACGAACATTTTAACATAATTTTTGTCTTCAACCAAAGCAAAGAAATGGAACGAAATCACTATCAAGATCAGCACGAATAGGTAAAACTGTCTGGCCGATGACCCTTGGAGATAAAGTAGAGTTAGTCAAGGAAGTAACTATGGGACAAGTGAACAAGGCATGAAAAAAGTTTCCCAATGTTTTTTTTTGCATTATAAATTGATAACGATCAGATTTCCCTTCCGGAAAAGTTGAACGATTGAGTTGATTTGCTGAAAGTTTCAAAGAGGAATGTTGGAATATAGAAAAACGAATGAGTATCCGGAAGAGTAAATTCAAATGAGAATGGGAGAAGTTGAATGAAAAGAAAACGAATAGCTCGAGGGAGTACTTATGAGTTTAATCTGTAGGATATTAAGAAAAATGCTTGGAATTATTTGAAAATTTCTATCAGTCGAAAATTACCTATTAAAATAAAGTATACTAGAAAAAGGATCTCTGTATAATAACAGGAAAGATTTATTATGAGTTCATGAACTCGAATTAACATAAATGAAGCAAGATAAATAAGGAATTAATATCATTAAAACATTAATTGAAGAGGATATATTATATAAAAAAAATCTTAACAAACAAAAGGCTGAGAAAGACTTGGAGGTACAAGAGTACAAAATATAAGCTTTTACTTGAGCTAGAGAGTAATAATGATCGTGTTACCTCCAGGTAATTGAACTCATCTTGCTTCTACTATACCTCCATCGTTACCCTTCATCTCACTTTCTTTCTCTCTCTGTCTCAAGCATTAAGACTTGACTCCTACAGTCACGCCTACCTTAAAATTCGATAAACCACGTCTTTCGGTTATAAACTAGCTTTTAGAATAGATACAAAAGCTATCCAATTATTCCTGACAACGCTTTTCCCAGATTAATTAAACACTTGACAAGGACAATGCTTACGAATTATTTATGGTATTTTTAACTTACGATTTTATGGTGAAGATGTTGAAGCTCTCTTTCTGTTATTCGTCTTCGTGACAATTCACGCTGTTCACGTCGATACTGGCTGTATTTGTAGAAAAGATACATGCCAGGAAGAGCTAGAACAACTAAAGGCTTCATTAATCCTGCTCTGCCTCCTTGTCCACCTCCTTGAGCACCTTCTCGGGCTGCACGACCTTCAGGTGGCTCATCTAAGTCTTCCAAATGACCTACGTCCTCATCTAATGCAGGCTCTGGTGCTTCTGCGGTTGGCATTTTGATTTTGTTTTTCTATAAATAAAAGTTTATTTCTCTTTTCATTATAGAGAATAGAAATAAAAAACGTTATATTTTGATTGGAAAACCGATAAAGTAGGTTAAAATTAATTGAAAGAAATGATTGAGTAATTGAATTAATAGTTAGAAAAAAGTACAGAAGGGGGAAAATAGTGTATAGCAGACAAAGAGCTTGAGAGGCTGTGAAACAATTAAAAATCTTCAATTGTATTGCATTGAAGCTGACATTTAGCTTTGAAAATTGATGCAGAAAGCACGTTTAATATTTTAAATGAATTATTCATTGAGTTTTGTGTGTTGAAAAAATCAACAATTAAATTTTATTTAATGAATAAATTTCATTTTAAAAAATGAGCTTTCACAAGTTTGCTCTATTTTTAATGACTTTCAAGTGATAAAATATAACTTATATATATTTTTCAAAATATTTTAATTGAATAAAATAAATAGAACTCTAATTTAACTAATATTTTCCAGGCCTATGTGATGAGTTTTTCATCGTTTATGAACATTTATTGGTTATTGGTTTCTCATCAATTTCATTTGATTCTCTTCGATTCCACTGTGAATTAAACAATTTATCCTTCACTTTTTTTTCTTAATTTCATTCCATTCTTATGTTCTATCAATGGAAATCTATCATCGACAAGACCGAAATGACAATGAAATCTTGGAATAATTAATGATAAAAAGTCACTTTCATTGACATTTTTTAATAACAAATCCAAGTTCGTTAACCGACTATATTTAATTCGAGCGTCGACTCGGTTGTCTATTTTTAACTCTGACTGCTCTAGAAATACCTACTCCCTATCCTCTTAGTGGTTGGCACTCGGGGGACAATGTGTAGTGTGTACCATGCAATCTCTTGTCTTCCGGTTTCGCGCGTGGCGCTTTGCAATATGCCAACAACCTGGGTATAGTATTGCAAAATTAACTTCATTTTCTTTACTAATTTATCCAAGTCTAGAATCATTTTTGATTGCCAACTCATGCTACCTAGCATCTAGGTCACTGTACTACACTACTATAACACTGCATTAAAACCAAAGAAGCCAACGTAAATCCTGCAATTTTCCACCCAATCAACCATCATTGCCTATTCCTTTCCTTTTTTTATATCTAAATTATACCTGTTCAAGAAGTCATTATGCATATATGTAAGCTGTTTCTTCGAGAATAAGTGAGTGAGATTTATATTTTTCATGCTTATTCAGAGTCTATTAGAGCACGTTATTTTTTATTAATGGAAAATGCATAATTAAATTTCAAAATTCATAAAAACAGTAATTGAAAATGAATTTTAAATATTTTTAATATTTATTATTCAATTAAAATAACACATTCATTTATTTAAAAATCAGTTTCATCATTTAATGTGTTTATGAATGAAACTCAGTGGTTTAATTATTGAGCAATTAGTAGTGAAATAATTTATTTAAATGGTTAAATTTAAATAAGGGATTCCTTGATATAATCTTGCTAATCTAAAATAGGTCTTGATGGAAATTAATGAATGGAAATATTGGCAATTATTCTATAAGATAATCTGTGAAATTAATGCTGCTAAAATGATTCTTATCAGTTCAGAGAGGCCTCGAGTACAATAAAACCCTGAGCCTTGACATGTTGTTGACTGTCAGTAAGGACAAGGTGATGGAAAAGCACAACAATTATTCATTCAAGTACGCAACAAAATTTTTAAACTCAATAATATACCCACCTGAGTCTAAAAATTAAAAATCTTGCTCATCAATTTTTTTTTTATCTCTAAGATCACATTGATGACACTTTTAAGTCAACTTTAGCAGTTAATTGCACATGAATTTACCTGAAAACGAGTTCACAAGAAGACTGAACAAAAAATGAGACTTTTTAAGTGAAAATGATCAAGATATGTGCGTTTATAATGCAAAAAGATGAAAATCGAAGTAGTTGTGCCGGCGTGGTGGCCGGGCAGCCACTGAGAGTCTACCAGGCGCCGTACTCTAGGCTGCAATCCAACCCACGGTGGTGGAGGATCGATAAAAGGAGGACAGACGACCTGTAGATGAGCTCAAGAGTGAGATAGCTGTTGAGTTAGGGGTAAAAGAGCAGGTTTGGCAAAGAGCGACAACCAATACCAATAAAGAGACCTTCTCCAAGTGGCCAAGTCCGAATCACAAGATTTAGGAGCCCTGATTCGGCTCAACCTTCAATATTGTTTTCAACCTCTTTCAAGGGAAATGTATCAACCTATTTTTATCTTCCATTTTCCCTAGGTCAATGAACTTTATTAATGTCTTCAAAGGTTATGGACAATCAGATAAAATCATCACTCTTTTTCGTTTACTATTTTATTTAACACTTTACTTTTGTGATTTGCTGAAACTTTAATCAATTAAACGAGAGAAATACATATTTACATGTAAACAATTACTACTTGAAACTATTTAAAAACTATTCGTTTATTAAACGTTTCGTATAATTTATGTCTAGGAAACTTGTTAACTGTTCTACAAGTAATTTATTGTTCTCTAAGAGAGAGAGAAATACAGGCCTTTTGATCACTTCTTAATGAGCTTCAGCCGGATAACTTCTTTTAAATTATCACCAGTAAAATGTTGAAATGATTGAAGATTTATTAATCTACTCTGTTTGTTGATGCAAGAAACTGTTTGGCTACACGATAAACCCATAGGGATTGATATATATAGGGGAATGTGTACCGTTTGATATATTGATATACGAGAACAGATCGTGCTGAGGGAAATGAAATTCAATAACCAAGAGACCAAACTTTAGGAGAACGTTACTTTTATCTAAAGATGTATAGATGCCTTCCATCTAAATTGATGATATTTTTTCCTGTCAATTGAGTATTTGCAGAAATTTTGATGACATAAAGACATTTTATTCCGGACAATAAGCTTTGCTTCAATTTCATCGAAATTATAATAAACTTCAGAAAAAAAGTCTGTACCTCAACAGATTTTTATATTAATGACGAAGCAACTGTTTATGCAAATATTGGTTGAAATTAAAAATTTAAATTACTATTAATATTTTAAGATTAATTCATTGAATATGAAAAAATTATATTCAAACTTTATTAAAAGTATATTTATTTTTCTACTTACTATTCAGGTCTTAACAGATCATACTGCAAAATAAAGCAGAGAAAACACGCAACATAATACAACAAAATAGTCTACGAAGCAAATTTAAGCGTGGTGAAACTGCAGCCTGGATTACATAGTTGGGGGATGAGTACCACCAGCATCGTGACGTCATTTGAGTCTCCCGTGACGTCACGAACCGTTCGATACAACGCCGAGTGCAAGAAGGTGGTAACAGAAAACAAAGAAAAGAAAAAAACTTTTTTCGCCATTTTATCTCATTTTTTCAATGTTTCTTCGTTACTTTGACGTTAAAACTTGTGTCGTGGGACGCAGAATCATGATAATAAAAGTCAATCGAATGTTATAACAAAATTTTTTATTACAGGAGAGAAAACGACAAGCTAGAGATAGACTGGGTTCATTATCTCTAGAGTCTAGAGTTTGCTAGAGTTTATTATGGTTCATTGAATGTCATCGGAGCGAGTAGATGCAGAACACTTCGCAAAGGTGTAGTGAAACTTTGAAAATTAGCAACGCCAGACAAAACTAGAGAAAGAGAAAAAGATAGAGGTCATCGTGCTATAAGTGAGAATGTTAAATTACATTTGACGTCATTTCCAGAACCTCTGGTTTTCGTTCAATATTACATTATATCATAGAACTGATATCATGATGGGATTCTTTGTAATGTGAAAAACATCTTGAAGATGAGGATCAAATTCAAATGGATTTTCACGTCTCGATAATTTTAATGAATTAATTGATCTACTTTTAGTAATTCAATGTTCCTTATTTCTAATTACTGAAATAATGAATTAATGATCTAGATAAAAAGAAAATAAGTAGTAAAGCTCGATATTTGAAGGATATTCTTAATTAAAAATTCTTCATTATGTACTTACTACTTCATTGGCTAATTTCTGCCAAGTTGGTATAATAGTATACTATAATATCGAAACTATTCGAGTCAATAGCAAGAGAGCTTTGCAGTAAAAACTATTTCGATGTTTCAGCAGAAAAAAAAAGCCAACAGTGGTTGTTGTCCCAGTGCGGCTTCGACTATCCACCAAGTCAATCAAGAATGAGCATGGTTGTATTGCTAATTGGATGGATGACCACTTGACCGCGATATAACTGTGCAAAAAACTGTTCTTGAGGTAAGCTTACTTCAAAACTACGGGTTCTTTTGTTAATATTGTGTATTGGTAGAAAAATCTATTTAATTTCTTTTGAATCCATACACTTGGACTTTTGAAAAAAAATTTAATTAGTGAGTTGGTATAATGAATTTAGGATTTCATTTCTCTTAGTTAACATCCTTTGATTAATTTTCTAAATTACGTAATAAAATTACAAATTTTAGGATCAGAGCTATCTTTTTAGTATTTAACGAAGTGATTTAATTAGTTTTCACAAATACAAAGTGTTAAAAAGTTATCATTAAATTACTCCAAATTTTGTTAGAAATAATTGGTTATATTCCAAAAGTAAAATAATACATTATGATTCGAACATCTTATCCGAATTAATACAACAATATACGCTGTGTAGAATATTATCATCAGTAGGACATGCTGCAAGCTATAAAATATTACATCTGACGGTATCATATCGTACATAGACTCGGCTTCGTTAATGCCTAGTGTATCCTTGGAGAACAATTACCGACCGCAGGTATGATTTTTATTTATATTGAGTTTCTAATCTAAAATTCTTTAAGCTTTGGCTGAACTCAAAAAGCTATAAAATTCGTGATTACATTCCAAATATAATGCTTTAGTATGAAAAAAAAATGTTTTTTATCATTAGAACGGTCGAAAGGTCAGCTGTAAATAATAATAATCAATAAAAATTTCTTAAGAAATTAATAAATTATAAATTTCTATTGTCATGTTTGCACGACTATCTTAATTCCGAGACATGCAAAATAAATAACTAACTACACTCTTTTTAAGGAATTTCTGCTAATTGTTGTTAATTACGACAGAACTTCGTACCCTACTAATACGAAAAAAAAGTATATTATGTACTGAAACATCATATTTTTTATGTTATCTTACATTTTATAGTTTTTTCAGTTTAGCCAAAGTTAAGAAAAATTCTAGATTGGAAACTCAATGAAAAAAAAATCATACCCGCGGTCGGTAATTGCTCTCCAAGGATGCACCAGGTATTCATGAAGCCGAATTTTTGAAATAAGGTAACATCGGAAATTGCTATAATTGCAGCATAAATTATGCTTGAATCATAATTTTGACTATTGCAATGGAAAGCACTAGCTCTTACGAATCGATTAATATGTTTATAGTCTATGTACGTCTTATAAATCGTAAGTTATTAACGAAAAACAAATTTATGCTGCAATGAAGCATAAAAAAACCTTTAAACGCTCATAACTCGGAAACTATGCGAGATACTGTGTTTTTGACCAGGTTTTAAGAAAGGGGGGTGCCGATATTTTTTCTTCGGTCCAAATCTTTGATATGAGCCATCGATCAACCCCGTAGCACTATTAGCATAGAAGTTATGCATGTTTTCATGTATTACAGTTTTTCACAAATATCTCGTGATTTTTCTAACTAACCAAAGTCAATAGCAACCGTTTCGGAATCGTCTCATCAAGATCTTCCCAACGAGATCTATAATTTTCTGATCTAAGCGTAAACACGATCACTTGCCATTTTTTAAGATTATGTTTTTTCAGGTAGTTGGTATATGTTGTGCTTGGAAAACGATGTAAATAACATATAATGGATCTTAAAAATATGGTCATGTTTAAACAAACAGTAGTAAGGTTTTTGCATTGACCAATCATGAATTCCGTCGATGACATCGTTAGTGATTCGTTGTTAGTAATGAACTTCAAGTAATCATTAAAGCTTTAGATCTACCATTGATGTTCCTCTACAAATTTATAGATTAATAATTCAAAGCAAGTATTGTTTTCTGTACAAGTATTAGTGGTCTGTCTTTCTTGAGGACACTATGTTTTGATGTCAACAAATATTACAAAGTAATGTAATTTAATATTGTTACTTGGTAATAAAAAAGTATAAAGCAAATAAATTCTCAGCTTGGTGGTAAAAAATATGGTAATGTCTCTTCTATGTCTTTTTGTTAGGAATGTTTCAATTTTGTCGGTATTAATAAAATTTAGTAAAAATTCGAAGGTTGACGCAGAAATATCCTCTATTTTTACTTTATTTGTATTATTTTATATAGTCGAACTGACGAGAGAATCGTCTTGAAACCACTCTTAGGCTGGCGACCCCTACTCTTATTTTCATAGATAGCCTACTAGAAAATTCTCTTTATTGCCAGCCTAAAAGTGGTCTCAAGACGATTCTCTCGTCAGTTCGACTATATAGTCGAACTAAGAAAAGAGTTCCTCATATTCACTAAGAAAAGAGTTCCTCATATCAGTTGCTTCAATGCTTTCGGGCTCCCCACCACTGATTTTCTACCCCTTCTACCATGTTTTTTACTACTGCGTAAGCGTACAAGAACACATAAAGAACATCTGAGGTATTCTCTTCTCAGTCCGACTATACCATGTCATGCGTAAACATTGCTGCAAACACTGGACTTCGTGCTAATAATATTAACTTATGGGCTTGGAATTTTCTGCCATATATTATTTTATTATTAACATATTTAATTATATTATATTAAATATTATATTATATTATATTCATTAACATATTATTAACATATTTTCTATTATTAAACTGAGCATTCATTTGCTTTATACTCTTCTATTACCTTATTGTGAGTATTCAAAAATGGTTAAAAATTCAGATTTGACATTACTTTTGTAATATTTGTTGACATCAAAACATAGTGTCCTCAAGAAAGACAGACCACTAATACTTGTACAGAAAACAATACTTGCTTTGAATTATTAATCTATAAATTTGTAGAGGAACATCAATGGTAGATCTAAAGCTTTAATGATTACTTGAAGTTCATTACTAACAACGAATCACTAACGATGTCATCGACGGAATTCATGATTGGTCAATGCAAAAACCTTACGACTGTTTGTTTAAACATGACCATGTTTTTAGGATCCATTATATGTTATTTACATCATTTTCCAAGCACAACATATACCAAATTGATGGACAAGATATTGCTAATGAATAGCAGCTACAACTAAGTAACAAAAGAGATTACGATTAATCAAGCGACTCAAGTTGCAAAAATTTCAGAGAATTTGGTGAAATTGATCTTCACTTCAACTAATTTGAGAGTAAAAATGATGCTGGCATTGTACTTAAAGTCAATGATAGAGGATTCAAGGTTTATAAAATAATATTATTAACAAGAAGTCCAGTATCTATGTGCAATTTAACTTTTCTTTTAGATAGATATGAGGAATGTTATAAAGATGTTAAACACAACTCAAGCTTATCATCTCATCGATATTGAAAAAATTTCAATGTTTCCATCTGATCTTATCGAAAACAAACTTAGAAAATCACTTTTAGTCTTTAATATAAAATTAATCAAGTCTCTGAAAAATTTGTCGGGTTCAATCCTTGTAAGCTTTTTTAGTTCTAAATCATTTTATTTCGATTATACATTTCGATAGATAAAACGGGCAAATTCTCCGTACTCGAGATTGATTATAAATTTAGCCATTAGATGACGATTGGTATATTGCCTAAGTGCAATTTCTATCTAATAGTTCTATTACCTACGCCTAACTTACTTGAGGATTCTCAATAAAAATTTCTATTGGGGAATTTACATACTGGGGAATATGCGTCATACCCTCCTTTCTCATAATTAACATCCTTTAATTAATTTTCTAAAATACATAATAAAACTTCAAATTTTAGAATCAGAGGTATTTTGTTAATAATATAATATCTTATTATTTGATTATTTTATACGTATTCATGCAACATTTACAATTTTATACGTACTCATACGCTGTGTAGAACATTATCATTAGTAGGAAATGCTGCAAGCTGTAAAATACTATATCTAACGGTATCATATCGTACGTGATAATATACCACATGTCGTATCAAATTCCCACTATGATTATTTTTGAATAATTAAATGAAACAAAAATAATACTACTTTTTCATTACTCCATGACTTGATACTGAAATCATTGATTACACATTCAGAAGATAATGTTTTACAAAAATTCAGAATATATACTTCACTTAAATATTTTTAATTAGCTCAATCAATGAGTTAATTGATGTAAATACAACGTAAAATATTTTATTTGACAACATTACTAATTAATGTCAACGTGGTGCCAGTGAACGCATTCAATTAAGCTTCATTAAAGGGCGTACTTTCAAGTTCATTATCCTGTTTTTGTATCAATTTCAAGTTTATTTCTTGCTAGAATTCGTGATATCTAATAAAGCGAAAACAAGGCGTAGTTTATTGTTCGTTATCTATAAATGTATTTCATATAAATTACTACATAGAAATGGTCTTTTCTGATATAATTATATCATATCTAATTCCTCATGACGCATTGAAAATTCTTTGTTCAACTCGTGTCACTCAAAACTCTTTAGAGGAAAATGATTTTCTATGACTCATTCACTGCAGGAAATTTGTCCGAATTCTTTTCAACTTGTGCTGTTGATTGACGATTTTTAAATGTACACATACCTTTAGATAAAACTTGACAAGAGTTTCACATTATCCCGTATATCCACAAAATATTCTAGAATTTTTGACAAAACCTAGAAAATAAAATTTAGACTTAATCATTTTCAAAATGTGAGACATCAATAGAAAGGTATACAAATTTCACTTTTTTGGTTAATTAACTGATTAAATAAGTGATTCATGAATACAAATCAACGGAAGCAGAAAATACAAATTAGTATTATTTAAATCATATTAGAGAAGAAAGAGAAATTTTTTAAAGTTGAATTAAGAAAAAAAAAATTACTTAACAAAGTCGCAAGAATGGTTGTTAATGAAAACAGTAGGATATTTTTTTATGAGAAAAAATGTAAGTTTCAAAATAAATAATTGCAGGATAATTAATCTATAAAGTTACCGTGGCATAACGGTTTGCCATGTTTCCTTTAATAGTGAAAGTAAAAGTCCACTTGACTCTCATGTCTCAGTGTGCAACATTTTCTTATAAGTACCTCCATACCATGTACAAGTATCCATATATCTAATTTACAAACAAGTATATGTGTATGATAGCTATATGAGAGTATCATGCATTATAAAACAAAAAAAAAATTCATTCCTTTTCTACAGGATCTTTGCCATTTATTGGTTTGCACTTTAAGAAAATCGATAATGATCTACATTTACTGGAAATCCAATTTATAAATGTATTGTAACTATTAAATTAAATACAGAATAACGGATATTACCTGGTTTCTCATACTTTTTCGTTTTTCCATTTTAATTTCCAGTTATGACTAATCTTAATCGAAAGTTAAATCAAAACTAGCGGAGTGTAACTTGAAAAAAATATGTGCCAATTAAATACGTCGTTTGTCTTTCATTTTTTAGATTAAAATTGATTTATTATCGTTATCGAAAGACTGACGTATGTTAAAGATACTAATTCTGTGAGAAAACAATTCATTTGTTTTTTATATGATGAATTTACTCTTCGTTTATTTATAAAAATTAATTTCTTATCATTTATATCCCCCTTTTTTTTAAATTCCAATTAATTGATATTCACATGGGATTATTCTCGGTCAATTGTTCTCATCAACTGTTTTTTTAATTAATTATCTTCTATTTAGGTGATATTTGTTTCTTTTATTATCAATTGCTTTTTGAAATCTTTTTTTAAATTAATTTATTGGCGTAATTAATGATCTTGTGAGTCTGCTTGTATACTTAGGTTTGGAGCTTGATGGTCTAATGTAGCGTATGAATCGCAGACGATGACTCAAACATCCTCCCAGTGAGTTTTAAAATTCATACTCCACCATTTATTTTATTTTTCTCAACTTTTTAAGCTTCTTTTAGTATAAACGAACAATTGTATTCATTAGTTTTTCCAATTTTCTCTTTTTTATAATATTAAAAAATAAAAAAAACATTTCAATGAGTTTGAATTCAATGTAAATTTGTTTATTTATTTTTAAATGTTGTAAAAAATTATGATATATGTCTTTAAAAGTGTGAAATAATTTATTTTGCAACGCATAACAAGATTAAATGAATCACACCATGATTTATTTCGGAGTAACCGAAGTAAACATTGAAGGCAAAAAGTCTTAGTTTTGGCCTTCAAGGGTCAGTTGACTGACATATCATGGTTGTACTTGAAATATGTATATTCATTGTTCTTCTTAGCTTCCTTTAGAGTCTAAAATTTATAAATAAATTGATTTTTCATTTTTGTTGGTAATTTATATGTACCGGAAACATATTTCATGCATCATGAAACAGAAAATTCTGCTGCTACTCTTGTTTTTTTAATGTCTAAATGAATTTTTAAAACCATGCAGACGATGTATTTTCGTCTTTTCTCTCCGTCAAACATTCACTTGGTTTTTTTAATTGTTTTCAATGTCTAAACCTTTTATTTTTATTCTTCTGATCTGTGGAAAAAACTACGGGAAAAAATCTTTTCTTCTAATAGTTTTGAAATCGTTATTAATCTTTCCAAAACAATCTACGAAATCCTTTTGAAAACTAAAATAAAATTTTTTAAAAATAAGAATATGCTGATTTTCAAAAAAATTATTTCAGTAAACATTAATCAAATAATACATATGTATTTATGACAAAAAATAATAATAATAATAATAAAGATAAAAGATTTTTAATCAAAAAAAAAAATTAAGAGGAAATTCAGATAAAAAAAAATCAAAGAAATAAAGCCAATAAAATATGATAAACAAACAAATTCATCGAAATACTTATGCAAATGATTATTAAAAATTCAGCAACAGTTGCAGAACGGTCTTTGACTCTCGCTGAGCACGCGTTTCAAAGTAAAGATAGACGTGGCCGTTTGTACTTGCATACCCGCACAAAATATAAGAACGACACAAGAGAGTTTGTAAGTTAGAAAGAGTCAAACTCATAATAAATCTAACAGTACTGACGAAGAATGTAAATGTGATAATATAAATGTGTAAGAGAGATGCCAACAGAGACCACAGATGGCGAAAACGAGAGAGTGATATTGTGCGAGAGAGATGACAATAGTTTGTTCGGAATGGGGGGGAAAGGAAAGAGGGCGACTCTTCCGCTTGTGGATCAGTCTAACGCCGGTAATTGTCATGAGCGGGTGTTTCGCTGAGTGTTTTTGTGTATAAATAAACATTACAAAAATAGACATCAAAAATTAATTAATTCATTAAATAATTCAGTTAATTGGTCAAAAATTCATTCATCAATCAATAAATAAGATACATGCAAGTTACGTCAATAATTTTGTTGCAAACATAACTCAAGTGACACTTACACCAAAACAATTGTATCAATAAACAATGAATATTAATTAACTGTATTGATTTATCCATAAAAGGTAAACTTGAAAATTCCAGGAGTCCAAGGAAATTGTTCTATATTCGAGTCAAATATTCAACCGGATAAAAATGACTTAGATGTCAATCGTAATGAATTAATTAAAAGAAATGGCGTTGTGTATGACAAGTTAATGATAGTGGATAAGAAATTTAAAAGAAGAATGACAACGAGTGAAATAATACATTAATTAATGAATAAATGTTTGATTGAGATTAAAATTAAATAAGAGTGGGTAACAGACAAGTTATTCTTGTGTTATTATGTGCGATGAAGCGTGCAGGTTGTTGAAAATGCGACTGCAATAAAACGGATCCGAGGTCATTGAGTAAAAGTGTTTTTGCTTCAAGCAATAGATTCAATTATTATTTATCGATTCCACTCGGAATTAATCGATGATGCTGTAAGTTAAGACAAACTGTACTAACAATTCTTGGATATTCTATTCTTTTTGATTTATTCAAGTATGTTTATCAACTCCTAGAATTGGCAATAATAAATCATATTAATATCCAAGCACATAAGACGAGAAACAGCCAAATCCTTGGCGTTATTTGCAGTTGTAAACACAGGGAACGTTGATGGAGAGAAAAGAATTTTGTTTTGATTGCACGATGGTGAATGATTATAATGTTATGAAGAAAAAGAAGATCGATTAATATAATGCGTGGAATTGAGTGGTATAAAATTATTTTGGTTAAAGTGTAGAGAGTGTGTTTAGAGTGCATTTAGATGGAATAAAACATCAAGATGATGATGGCACCACAGGTCGTGGGTGTTTTATTGAAGAAGCCTGGTCAACAAAATCATCCATGTGCTCCATTACCATCTTTAGCTCCTCCAGACACTAAAATACGAGGTAGAATTTTTATTTTATTCAAATGACTACAAAAAAAATAAGCATATATTTAAATTAATTTTCAAAACTCCAGACAAAAATAAATTCTATTTTAACACTAAAACTGCTACGATTAAAATAATCAATTTATGATACTCGATTTAATTAAATACACAATATTTTTATTCAGTTTTCTAAACATTTTTTCGTCATCCATTCGATCATGTAAAATAAATTTTAACAGTAATTTATGTATTTTTTTTCTTCATTTCTTTAAATTCATCTAATTTTGATTATTTTATTTAAATAATTATTTTTTCAATTTTTTGTCTGAAAAGTGTTTATTATCGCAAAAAATTATTTTTAAGCTTTCATCAATTGTTTACTTGAAAGTTAAACAATTTATCTCCCACTTTCTTCTATTTTTAGTCAGACATCAATAATTCCAATGCTTTTCATTGGATACTGCGTTTAATAGGGAATTAATGTTAGAGCCATTATCTCAACGTCTGATTACAAATAACGACTATTAAAACTTGTGAAATATGATAGTCGTGAGTGTAATTAATAATAAAATGAATCTTACGGAAGAATCGTGAGACAAAGAATTTATTTACAACGCACATAAATTTATAAATATATATATATAAAATTGCTAAATAAAAAAATTCCAATCAAAAATACTAATTAACAAGTTGATCTTAAATCTCTTATTTATGTATCTTGAATTTTTTTTCATCTCAATAAAACTGTTTAAACATTCAATATATGTCTTGAGAAATATTTTTAACAATCACTCGTTAAGTAGAATAATCAAAGGCTATTTTTAAAGTAAAACATGGATAAAAAAACAGTTATTTCCGATCAATACAATTTGTGTATAAATTTAATTCCTTGGGGGATAACGATTAAAAATTCACGCTCGTAATCTTGGTATCTGGGCTACCGTGGTAACGGGATAGTCTTATATGTGGTTTTACGTTTAGTTGCTGTGACTTAAAAGAGAAAGAGAAAGAGTCTCTTTAGGCTGTTGAAGTTAGATATATGCTGAAAGAAAACAAAAAAAAAGAGATAGCAGCAAGTCACGTTGAACTTATCGGTACCGATTTCGAGGTTACATGGCCTCGCCAGTACTTGACCTACAATTTGTCGACAACAGCCACCACCAATTCACCTTTTATTTCATTCTTATGCGATTCATTCAAAGGTCAGTGATGTTTCAGGTGCAATATTAGCTGAGTAATATCATCTGTAATCTGTAATTGATAAAAACAAAGAAAATCGAGTCAGAACTTTACTAAGAGATACATTCAACACTTTGCCAATCCCTTGTTTGTTAACCTCCAACGCTCTCTATGTTACAGTCTATATTTTTTTACTGTAATCCATTCTCTGTCCTTTGAGATCATCCTTGCTTGTTAAAAGTCAAGGGAAAGTACCAGTTTCCTTTACATTCGCTTATTCTACGTCTTTAAAAGCTCCATTCATACGATTACTCATTTTTCTTTGCTCCATTGCATTTTTTTCTCAATCATTTTTCAATTAATTGTCAAGATTTCCTCTCAAAATCTTTTATAAAATTCACGTACATGACCTCAAGTACCCTCAAGTCACCATACTTAGTCTGCCATTATTTTTTGCCCCCCTTGATGAAAAAGAAAAGAAATTTGCAGGCGTCCTCTTCTCTCCTGTCTTTCTTTCAATATCAGACCACAAGTAGTGCTCTTATGGAGTGTGACACGGGTTTTATAAATACATAAAAAGTCTAAAAGAGCGTTGCCATGAATACATATATATATATTTACAGAAAAGCATGTATACATATGTATATATATATATGTGCATGCATGATCGAGAATAGCATGCGAAGAAGTGGAGTTGAGTTTAGATCCTTGAAACGGGAATAATAAAATTGGGGAGATGAGAAAGAACGTTTTATAGGTTTTTTTAGTACAAAGTTGAAGCATCATAAAGTATATTTCAAGCGTTAAAAATACTCACAAATCAATTTTCTATGATTTCAATGAAAAAATGTTCTTTTTCACTTATTTTTAATCTCTCAATCCATTTATCTTCTGTGTACAAAAGAATTCTACTTTTTTTTTTTGATAGATTGATTTTATTGAATATAAAAAGTATTTTAAAAATGTTGTTTTATTGTAAAATAATTGAAATAGTGTTGAATTGATGAATGAAAAAATTCTTCTGGTCATTTAATCTGCTATTGACGCAATAAAGTCGTTCTAATTTGTCTGCTAGCTTGTCGACATGTTGCGCGTTCAAATTGACCGTAACTCATCTCAATCACTCATCTCTGTAACCCTCACATACTTGTGCAAGCTGTCATATTGATTAATAATTTCATCAAATTGATAAATAATTTTAATGCTCAGAAGATCATCCAAAATATCATTCATGTTATTGATCAAGCATACAAGAAAGGGAGCATCGAATAGATGAGTCTAATAGAGTCAAAAGAATTAGTACTTAATTCTAGCCCTTAATAGGATCATTTTCAGTGTCTCCCCATGTACATATCACATTACAGATGCGTCGATGAGACTTGGAAAAAAAAATTAAAGTAAAAGCTTAAAGGTTCATATATGTAAAAGTTTCTCAACTCTTCTTCTACTTAGCGACCCCTTAAGCCGGATTTCTATAGATTCGTAAGCTTCTTTTCTACTGATGTCGACTACTGCGGTGTATTGCTACTAAAAGAGAAATACTAAGAGATTCTGGTTATTCCGGTATACTAGTTTCCAGGGGAAAAGCGGTTGTGAAAATGTTTGACATCTCCTGTAAAACTTGTCCTTACGAAGTAAAGAGAGAAATCATGGGAGACTAATAGATTTTTCTTTTTTGTTTTGCTATAAAAAATTTTAAGCTGCTAATCAATTAAATAATTTCTTCATGATTTAATTTATCAGGATATACATTAACAGTTATTGTATTTAAAAAAATACAAATACTTTAAAACATTAATAATAATTATTTTTATAATTATTATTAATTGCATCGATGTTGTAAAAAAAGAAAATCGTCATCAATTTTTTTTTGTATCGTGAGAAACTGATTGTCACGTGACATTATTGAGTATGAAAAGTCTGACACTCCTGGCAGTTGATGGCATCAGATTTCTCATTCATACAAAACCAAAACTCCTTCAGAAGTCTTACCAATACTACACCATGTACATACTTACATACGAGCTATTATACAATTGGTTTCATGTATCGTATCGATTGTATTCATGTATAGACATGGGGGAATCAAATTAACCCTAGTGTCAAAATATTTTTAAATACTTCAGAGAAGTAGAATATTTTACAATAGAATATTTACTAATAATAAAATAACTCCAATACTGAAGATTAACAAAAAAAAAATTTATTAAAATGTTTTATCGATTACAGATATTTTATTTACGGCCTATCTACTATAGATTTAAAGAGAAAAAAAGAAATATTAAATAGCTGAGTTTTAAATTTAGTTATAACTCTATTGAGCTTCTAAAAGTCTCCTTTAAATTAGAAAGTCCATTAACGTTTTATTACTAAATAACCGAAAAATGAAGTGAAAAGAAAATGTTATCGATAAAGATAAAAACAATGTAAATAAAAATAAACCTAACGGAATTTTCAGAATAAAAAATCATGAATGGTTGAAGGGGTAACATGTGTGTTGATGCGTGAATGCAACAAACTTCGGGGGACAGTGAGAAAGGGAAAGATCATGTGAAGTTTAATGCGAGCGGATGGGCTTTTTTCTTATTCTTTCTTCGATGTTGAATATATGAGGGGAAGCCTCGAAGAGAAGATGAAGAGAGGGAGGTCAGGGCGTTGCACCGTTTGCTGTGACCCAGTGTTCCCCACTGACTGTTTATTTCTTGTACCTCTCACTCTTTTCCTCTCGCCTTCTCTTTCTCTTTAGTCTTTTACTCATCTGAGGCTCTTTTTCAATGAATAGCTGTAAGATCCAATGCATCTATCCATTAATCTACTTTCGAAAAATTTTAAAGCCACCGAGGAAAGAAATAAAAGGAAAAATAATTAATTTTATCTATGATTGAATACGTAATAACAGTTCTTCTTGTTTTATTGCTATTATTATTTTCTGTCCTTTCTCTTTTTATGGAAAAAATTAAATTCCAAAATACAAAATTGTCCATCATTTAAAATATTTAATCTAGAAAATGAAAAAATAGTCAAAAAAAAAAGGAGCATATTAAATGGATAGCAGAGAAGATAATTTATGATTGTAATAATAATAATTATTATTATTACTTGCTAACGATTCTCTCTAGTGCTTTACTTTGAGTCATTTTTTTCGTCGATCTGGGTTAACCAGACGCATTCCGCTATGTTCGGAGATAAGTAGAACGTCTTGGATGTCTGAGTTTAGTATGATATTGGTATATGGACATTAGTTGAAGTGTGTTGAAGACCTTTTGGATGTTTTAATTTGATTCCTTTTCTTTCATATTTAAAATATTTCTTACCAGCATCTAGTTATGAGTCTTTTCAACTATTTAAAAAAAGCACAAATAAAGTCATATAAAGTTTTTTTTTAAAACAAAAAAAAAACAGTAATCAAAAAGTAAATGACAAAAAAAAAGAATTTACCGTTTAGAAATTGAGTAGAAATAAAAAAGAAACAAAATATCACCATATTAATTAAGCTTCTTCTGATATTTATGATCAAATTTAAAAAAATACTTCATAAATTTTTTCCCAATAGACTAATTAAATTCATAAAGTGAATGGATTAAATTTTTTTCCAGTTATCTTAAAATTAATCAAACTGATGAAAATAAGTAATTTTATTAATGGATAATAATTGGGTATGATAAATAATTATCTTAATCATTTTGTTTGGTATAAAATAAGCGAGAAAGTGATGAATATCATGAAATAAATGAATGAAAAAGTTTTCAAGGATCTAAAAGTAGATTAAAGTCTGACAAGATTGACCTAGATTTAATAAAACATCCGAACGGGTCTCTTAAGCATAATAATCAGGAT